TATCCCATGATGGTCGATTATTTCGAACAGGCCTTGAAGGCTATTCCATAATTATTCTTTAATATTTAAAATAAATTATATTCATAGCATAATTTGCAGTTATCGCACAAAAATATTGATACTTTCACCCAATATATTAGCCAGGCGATAAATCGATACACTGACATATCAATATATCGAAATCTCTAGAACACCATTTTGTTTGCAGCGCAGCGTGAAAAAAAATTGGAATTTCTTCTTATATCTCAGAAAAACTCACTGTAAAAGTGTAAATTAGTTGTGATTATTGAGGTTTATTAATTAAGAAAGATGGACAACATAGAGCGACTTTACAAATGCTACGAGATATTGTCCGAGGCAGGCGATAAAATTTCTGAGGTAAGCGGCTCGGACCGCCATTGTTGAAAGACGCGGCCCCACAACGTTGCTATGGGGAAAATGTGCCGAAAAATAAATATGTTCTTTGCATTCCCTTTCAGCACGTGGATGAATACAAGGAAATACTGAAGGCTGTTAAAGGCTCGTCCAAGGAGAAGCGTTTGGCATCGCAATTTATTGGCAACTTTTTCAAGCATTTCCCCGATTTGGCCGAAACAGCAATTGATGCACAGTTCGATCTCTGCGAAGATGATGATAACCAGGTTTGTGCGCGCCTCAGCACAACTCATTCACAGATTACCTTTATTATGTTATGTTATTTGACATTTTCCAGATTCGCCGCCAGGCCATTAAAGATTTGCCCAAATTATGTCAGGGCAATGCGGAGGCGACTACACGCGTGGGCGACACTCTCGCCCAGCTGCTGATACTGGACGATGCCACAGAGCTGCAGCAGGTGAACAATTCACTGCTTAGCATCATCAAAATGGACACAAAGAGCGCTGTAGCTGGTATATTCCAACAAATCAGCACGGGCGATGAGCCCACAAGAGAGCGTTGCTTCAAGTTTATTTCAACCAAGCTGTTGACCATGGGTCCCACTGTAATAACCAAGGAAATTGAAGAATACATTGTCGAGGAGATCAAGAAAGCCCTGCAGGATGTCACGGCCGATGAATTTCATTTATGCATGACCATTTTGGGTGCCACAAAACTGGGCAACACCATCACCGGACACGCTGAGCTGGTCAAGCTGGCCACGGAACAGGCGGAGCTCAATAGCACGGATGCAGACATCATTGCTGTAGATGATGAGGTTGTGGAACGTTTCGTTCAATGTGCCACTGCGGCTGCACCATACTTTTCGGTGAGTAAACGGGCCAGATTTGCATTAAGTTTATACAAAACTAAACCTCCTCTGTTATCCATAGAAAACTATCAAATCGACAGCATTCGTTGCCCATGTCTGCGACAAACTGTTGCCTATTCCGACATGGAACATGATCGCCACAGCAGTGTCACAAGATCAAATCCAATTAAGATTGCTTAAAGTATTTGCCGAGATGATAGCCAACACGGATAAGCTGGAGAGTGCCAACGAACGCATCAATAATGTCTATAATGTATTACTGGTGGGTTCATCAAACATAGTTCATCCAAATTATTGCATTTATAACGTGTCTGTTTGTTGATTTTACAGGAGTATATGCCGTTGCCCAAACTGAGCGAGGTGGATCTGGTGGATGTGCCACCATCGTTTGAATTTTCGCATGCTGAATGCCTGCTCTATGCACTGCACACGCTGGGCAAGAAGCATCCAACTAATTTAAGTTTTGTAGAAGACGCTGAGAAACTGAAAGACTTTCGTGCTAGATTGCAATATCTAGCCAGGGGAACACAGGGGTAAGCATCACAGCATCACACTCGCTGCAGAAATAATATCTAGGTCGAATACTAATTTTCCTTGCTTTGGGGCAGGTATATTAAAAAACTAGAGGAGGCTTTAAAGGGGAAATCAGCCGAGGAGCTGAAGACGGAGGAGAATCAACTAAAGCAAACGGCGCTGAAAACAACATCAAATATCAATGTATTGATACGCGATTTGTTCCATTCACCGCCCATATTCAAGCATGATATTGTATTATCATGGATTGTGCCAAAAGCTGTAAGAATATGAACTGTTTATTTATTCGACATTGTAAACCGAATTCGTTGAATTTTGTTTGCAGAACAAGCTAGGCAAACGACATGCACCCATCACATTCGGGGAGAAACCCGAAGCAAACGGCAAGGAGAAAGACCAGGACGTGGAGAAGAAATCGCGACCATCCAACGATCAGAAATTTTATTCGCCACCATCTGGCAAATACTCGCACAAAGTTAATCCTAACTACGGCAACAACAACCGCGGCAGGCAGCGTGGCGGAGGCGGTGGCGGTGGTGGCTACAGGAATCGACGCTACAACAGATATTGAAGCACCAGCCACTCCGCAACTTTCTGCATGGATTGTCTTTCCTAGTCCTTAAACTAAAATCAATTACCAGAGATTAGAATATCCCAAAACTTCGTCCACAATAAAACCACTTCAATAGTCCTGGCATCAGGCCAGGGTCTACTACCACACAACAAAACAAAAGCAAACGAATCGACTTCTCTTGGCGGCGGCTGCTGGTAAGTAATGTCAATTTTCCAATTAACTTTTTCCCTTTGGTTTGTTACAGAAATGCACAATTTTACCCGGAGTGTAACGGGCAAGCAACATTTTTAGCAAAACTCTCACACCAGCTCGCATTGCTTTTATTGTTTTGTGAAAGATGTTTGCGTGAAATCTTTAAACACCGCCACGTCCCACGTTCCACGTTCATTCTTCTCATTATTCATGCTCGTGGGTGCGTTGGTCTTGTTTCAATTTATATCACGCTCCACAAACTCGACTCTGTCTAATATAAGATTTAATAATAGAGCCAGACAAACGAATTCTTGCAAAATCAAACTATAAAATGAATCTTAACGTTATCCACATAAATAACAATAATCCTCATAATCTTGAAACCCGATCCATTATGCTCACGAGAGGCAACCGATTTGTGTGCCACAGAGTTTGTTGAATCGGCTTTTGTTTTTTTTTTTACAAGCAATATTTGCATAATTATATTTAATTTTTATTTAACATATAAACAATAACTGAATTGTACCACTTAGAGAGCTGCAAAAATCTGCATACTGCATACATTTTTTGAATCCAATAAAAGCAAACTTAAAGAACGAACACTTAAAAAAATCAATGCTTTTTTATTGCTAGCTGAAAAGAGTATTTTGATTTTCAGCATGCATATGTCTGCAAAGCAGCGAAGTCAACATCCTCAGAGTCTGGAAAGTAAGATTCCTATACGTATTTTTAAATGATATTCAGAATCAACTGTCGCTTATGAAGTGCACCTTAAAAAGAAGAGTTTCAAGTGCACATAATTCAACAATCAACGTTTGAATGTATTCCAATCCGGATGACTATATCGCAGGAACGATATATACTTGGCAGTGTATCAAATGCATCGGCCATTTCTTGCTAGAAGAAATATATTTTTGGGGGAGGAATTGAAATTGGAAATATAATCCAGCAGCATTATGCAATCAATCGCCATGGAAATGCTCGAGAAAGTTCTTTGTTTCGCTGATAAGATCATCGTTTTTATATTGTATACATTTATTACCATTAATAAAAATATATATTTATGTATGTGTATGTTATGTGTAATCGAAGCTTTTTAAACATTAAAAATACAGTAATTATAGTTTCTTTTTTTTCAGATGCTCGGAGGCGGCTGGTTTCCCGGCTGTTGTCCGTTACCAGCATTGGGATTGCCGGCGCCTGGGGGCTGTGCCCCCACCAGTTGACTGGCAAAGCTCTGGAACAGCTGCAGCATATCGTTGGGCATGGCTGGGATCTGTGGCCCGGCGCCACCAGCACCTCCACCACCACCGCCAGGGGCAGCGGCCCCACCTGGAGCGGCCGGTCCTCCGCCGACACCTGGACCGCCCATATTGGTTAACAATTGGCCGATAGTATTCATTACCATGGGATTCTGGGTCATTGATTGCAGCTGCTGCAGGTCGATCTCGGCGCTGCTGAACAGATTGCGGACCGTGGGATTAGCCAGCATGGCGTTCAGGCCGTCGGTCAGATGCGAAAGCTGCGGTGGCTGATTGCGCGCATTCCGGGCCACCTCCAGGTTGTTGCGGTAGTCGGGATTTTCCGGCTCCAATTCAATGGCCTTGCCGTAGGCCTGCTCCGCCTCGCTGAACTTTCCCATGTTTGAGTAGGCGACCCCCAGGCGGCAATAGGCCTTGCTGTAGGTGTTGTTGTAAAGAAGGGCTGACTTGCAGTCGGTGACAGCGCGCTCGTTGTCACCCAGACGGATGTAGGCAGCAGCGCGGTTGCAGTAGAAGATCGGATTCTTGGGGTCGAAGGTGATGGCGCGGTTGTACTGCAGCAGGGCCTCGTTGTACTTACACTCCTTCATCAGGCGGTTGGCCTCGTTCTTAATTGACTCGGCCAGCGCCAGCGACTCTGGATTCCGTTCAATGTACAGCGACTGGAAGAGCTCGAACATGTCGATGTTCTTGGTGTTCACGGCAGTGGCTGTGGATGTACTGCTACTTGTAGCAGCGCCATCTCCGCCCGGCTGTGCACTCGTTGTGCTCTGTGCGGTGGCCTCGATTTGCTCGGCTGCCGTTTCCTCTTCACCGACATCAAATGCCGCCTGCAGGCACTGGATAGCCACCTCAATGCTCTCGCTCTGATCGGGGGACATCACATCCACTTGCTTCTTCAAATAGTCTATGAAGGAGCGCACAAAACTTTGCTGCACAGCGTCTGGCATCTTGTCGACAAATATTATATTTTTTTATTTTTGTAAATTTGGTTAGGAAATGAAAATTATGTTGGCATGTCACTTAGAGCTTGTAAAATCATCGATGGTTTAAACATGGTCGTAAGGCTGCAAAACCATCGATATTCGTTTCATCGATGGTTTTAAACATTGATATATTGGAATTTCAAGGTTTCTTATGTTATTCATTTTGCATTATATACCGTCTACTCAATTTCGACGTCAAAATATAATGGAAACGGTCACCCTTCTAGGAATATTTAACTGATATTTTAATATATCGATATGTATTGATTGTTGACATTTTTAGGAAATTTTGTTTCGGTACATTTGTGCGATAGGTTGAAGTGGTTTTGGCGGCTTAATATTTTGATTTGAATAACGATATTACTGAATGCCTTAGTTTAAAAATCATCCAGAAACTGTTTTTGAATTTCCCTATCCCATCTTCATTTGAAAACTTGGCTAAATATGATGTTACATTTAACAAATACCTTAGCTAGATATGTTTTATTGTGAGGTAAATATGTTCATTTCGAGCATATAACGAATTTTTGTTGAGTGTGGGAATGATTAAGTTACGCTTCTAGAGAACGTAATTTACAAATCTTTACTGTTGTTCTTGTATCGAGCTGCAGTAGGAGCAATTGTAGTTTCGTCTTTCAGCTGGCCTGCAGGTATAATGTCGAGAGTGTCGGATAGTGGATAGGATGGCTCGTTCTTTGTGTGGATGAGGGTATGTCTTTTGAGAATTCCTTTGAGCTTAAAAGACTCCGAGCAGTAGGTACATCTGTAGGGCCGTTCATCCGAGTGCGTCCTAATGTGGGTCAGGAGATTTCCTCTCTTGCTAAAAGATTTCGAGCAATGCGAACACTGGTGGGGCGGTAGTTCACCTGTGTGAGTACGGTTGTGTATTTGAAGATAGTAGTTTTGATTAAATGACTTAGGACAGACAGTGCACTTATACGGTCGTTCCCCCGTATGAGTACGGATGTGTACTTGGAGATCGGAATTTTGTATAAAGCACTTCGAGCAGTGGGAACATTTGTAGGGTCGATAGCCTGTGTGCGTTCGAATATGACCCTGAAGAATGTCGGATCGAGTAAAAGACTTGGAGCAGTAAGTGCACTCGTATGGTCGCTCCCCCGTGTGTGTGCGACTGTGTACATTGAGGTGTGATTTTTGTTGAAAGGACTTCGGACACTGCGGGCATTGATATGGTCGATCACCGGTGTGATTACGAATGTGAGATTCAAGATTCGATTTTTGTATAAAGCACTTTGAGCACTGTGAGCATTTGTAAGGTCGTTCATTGGTATGCATTTTTACGTGCCTCTGCAGATGGAATTTTTGCTTAAAACTCATTGAACAATGAGTACATTTGAACGTCATGACATCGGCTTTCAAGTGGTTCGACTGCTCACTTTCACTAGCCGACACATCCCATTTCTCGCCTTCCAGATTATAACATAAATCTTCTTCTATATCCTCCTCCATTGCGGGAAAATAAAGTTGATGGCCCTGCTCATACGTTTTTATAAGATTGAATGCATTCACAGCATCCTCAAGGCAGGGCGTACATATGTTTTCTGAAAGTAAATCGCCTCGCCTTACCTCGTACCCGGTACACTGAGCTATCATGTCAGCAACGCAAGTGTCCCATTTTTGTGTCTCGTCGAAAATGTTTGTGAAGGCTTCAGACGTTCCCATGCAAACTCTGCATATTTCCTCCATTTTCCTGCAGGTAAATGAATATTTAATAAACGGAATACAGAAACGCGCCATTAATTGATGGAATTTAATCGATACAAACATAACAACCAACCAAATTGTGCGGCTTTTCAGAATTTCTTATGTTTCTTGCTCAGATTGTTTTGTTTTGAGAAAAATGTAGAAGAAAAATGTGCTGTTAGGCGCCGCAGACATCTGTGGTAATGTTATTGTTATCGGAATAATTTGAATGTGATGTTACAGAATAAGGGTATGCCTGAAAATGAAATAGATTTGTTTTGGATTAATAATTTCTGCGAAATGACTGTGGCATACCATAAATACTACGACAGACGACTAGTCTGGATTTGCATAAAAGGGAAAAGCAATTGCATAAACATTAAATTATTTATTAATCTTTATAATAAATCTACCTTATTATGTTTCTATATTCTATAAATAATGTCTTGAAATTGTTGAGGATCTTTCGTGAGTGTCTGATTATTTACGTCTGCGAAGTAGACGTCCTAAATTAGCCTTGTTTCCCCTTTGGATAGTTTGAATAGTTCACACGCTTTCAAAAGATTCCTTTATCTAATCTTAGAAATCTCATGATGATGATATCTTTACAGAGTTTCAGGTTCAGTTTCTACGGGTGGTGAGATCTCGTCGGGTGCTGTACTGGCACACAAGTTGCTTGTGTGACTAAGGATGTGTTTTTTGAAGCTTTTGTTTTTGTTTTAAATGACTTGGAGCAGTGGGAACATTTGAAAGGTAGTTCTCCCGAGTGAGTACGACTATGTACTTGTAGATGGGCGTAGATGGGCGTGGGTAAGGTCTTTCGCCGGTATGTGTACGGATGTGGTCCCTGAGATGTGTGCGTTGGGAGAAAGATCTGGAGCAGTGGGTGCATTGTAGGGTCGCTCGCCGGTATGCACACGGATATGATCCCGAAGAGTTCCGGCAAGGGAAAATGACTTAGAGCAGAGAGTACAGTTATACGGCTTCTTTTCAGTATGCTTAAGAATGTGAAGTTGAAGTTCGTCTTTGTCTACAAAGCCTTTTAAGCAAATTTCGCACATTATGTCCTCCATTCTCCTGTAAATAAATATAGCTTAAATAAATCCAGGACGCACAATAACGAATACGTACAATACGTTTTTCTCTTTTTAATGATTCATTGCTCGAATTTTGTTATGATTTTAATTCCGTGCTTGCTTGAACACGCGAAAAACATATGTTATGTTATCGGAATAATTCGTATAGGATGCTTCAGCGTATGGGTATGCCTCAAAATGAATTGAATTTGATTTGAAGTGATAAACTCTGTGATTGGACTGTACTGTAGTAAAACAGAGTTTAATCTTTTTGTTTAAAAAAAACAAAAAATAAAATTTTTAAAAATATCATATAACGAAAGAATGAATGTCATACAAAAACAGCTGTTCAACACAAAACTAAAATTAAATCTGAGTCGTTATAGCTACTATTTTGGATTTGATTATAATCAATTAGAAGACATAATATCATATCACCGAAAAATTAAATAATGCAATATCAAATCAATATATATATAAATCTCGTGTTTGTGGTTGAACTCCTCCCAAGCTGCACGATCGATTCTTATGATATTTTTTTTTATTATAGGTAGAACTACGAATGGGTCGTAAGGTATTTTTAAGCTTCATATCACCCGTAATTTTTAATAGATTTTAGTGTTTTTTTAATCAAGTAATGCTTTAATTTATTGCGTCGGTACATATTGATAATATCGGAGAAAATTACCGACAACGCCATCAAGTACACAGAGCATTTACATCCTCTTCGTTCCTTCATCTCCAACTCGAATACGAGCCAGATATTAAAAATTCCGCTCAACAGAAAGTGTTGATTAGACAAAGAATGTCCTCATTGTCACGCGCTCACGCATATTAACATGAGTCAAAGGTATGTGTTGCGTATCAGGATCAGGGCAACAACCTGAAATTGAGACGCCACCGGTACCATTGAACAGCTTGCTTATCGGTACGGTAAAACACCAGATGGTGATCACGTGCATAGATTCAAAGCTACTGTTGTTGACACATTGCTGAGTTCATGGTTGGCGACCGCACGAGAGACTATGATTCAAAAAGGAAACAATAATCTTGAGTTCATCGCCGACACACACCGTTCATACGACGCTCTCCAATATCGTATTCCACGTATCTGTGGTCCGAGAAGGGGTGTTGTTCAAAGATCCTGCTGTATCGTGTGAGAGGCTAGTGTGATATCCAGGACCTACTTACGATTTTTAACTATAAAGATGCAATCATTCCCCCGGTTTGAGATGACCATCTGAGTGGTTAGTAAGTATTTGAAAAGGGACTCACCCCGTTCATTAGTGTCAGTGCTACCCCACTGGCAGTGGTGTGCGTTGGCGTCGCATCCCACAATAAGGCCGATGTCCTTGGCCTCGCAGTCTGCGATGAGCGCCCTTAGGGACGCGTGTGGAGGGGGGTCAGGTTGGTCGTGACCCATGTATGTCGAGCAGATCCTCAGTGAGCTCTCCTGGCCTTCGAGGCTAATTGTAATAATTATAATTGTAACTCTCTTTTTGCAAGAATGCAGATGCTGGTTTTACCTGTGGTGTCAGCTACGTTTAGCTTATAATCCTGAGTCCTCAGACCGGAAACCCCGTTACCGAGGATACAGGGCTCCTGAACGAGGACTACATCGGCTCCACCCTTGGCTAGGTGGAGCAGTAGGGCACCACATGCTGCTTTACAAAGGTGGAGATTTATCTGCAGGAGTGTCAGCGACATTCCTGAGACTCGCTTCACCCATTGTAGTGTCGGCGTTACTGTCGGGGGACTCTAGCTCCTCCTTAACCTTGATGGGCCTAAACGCTTTGGCGTAGCCGTCCAGGATTTTATCTGACACCACAGACGCCACGTCCGACACGGGTTGGCTTACCGCTTTCGGGACTTCCGGCAGCTCCAGGTCTGGCTCGACCTCCGCTTGCCTGCCCTTGGAGTCGGACTTGTAGGGAACTATGGTCACCTTCCGGTAGCCATAGTCTACTATTCCGGACGTTTTCTCCAAGAGCTCCAGCGACTCCTCATTCAAGACGAGAATGATCTGGCGGCTCTGTCCCGTGATCTCCTCCACCTTGGCCACCTTCTAATCGGTTGTAGGTAGGTGGGGGTTGCACACCTGCAAAACCTTGAGGATCTTCTCCGGCTCTGCAGGTTTCACCGAGACCCACGCTCGGGCCCTCGGTATCCTGGGGATATCCTCCCATTTTACGGCCTCCAGCTTGGCTCCTGGGTAGACCTCCTTGAGTGCTGCAACCGCCTTAATGTAAAGGCCCGCCGAGCGAGCATCTTGACAGGCGATGGCTTTTACCGTGCCTTGATGCCACCCGGCGTCCTCGCATTTGGGCGGTGGCCCGCCGTTCTCCACAAGCTCCTCCAGAAATTTGTCCTGGAGTTCTGCATCGACCAGATGCCACTTATCCCGAGGTACATTACCGTCCTTGGCGCCCCTGTCAAGGACGCCAATTAGGGTCTTGCCCATCGCTACCTTCGCAAACGATCTGTTTGCAGAATGGGCTTTTGCCCGCTTGCCTTGGCATGGCTGTGCAGCGGGATCCTCCGCTGAGCGTTGCCGCTTGTTCGGTGCCTTGGCTGTACCCTTTCCGGCTTTGGCTGGCTGGAAGTCCGGGATGATTGAGCTGGCCCAGAGCCTCTGCTCAATCCCCTTGGCTGATGACCTGAACTCCGGGTCATCATTGGACAGGATGAAGGCAGCGCGCCTACGGTCTTGGTAGGACGGCTTCTTACCCTGCGTTGCCGTCGCCGCGTCGCCGCCTGCCGAGGTTGACGGGGGTCCTCCCGTCACAAAGCGCTTACCAGCCGCGATCTCGCTCTGATTGCTAGCCTCCTCGATAACCGGTTTGCCCCCGGTGCCCCTCGTCATGGATTGGCCCGATTTGCTTGTCGGAGCCCTCCACGAAGCGATTTCTGATTGAGGACGATGAACCGACTTGGTCTCCGTCTTCACCGTCTTCTTAGGGCCTGGTTTCCCAGGCGTTGATGCACTCACTGCATCCTCAAGGCAGGGCGGACATATGTTTTCTGGTAGTGAATCACCTCGCCTAACCACGTATCCTGTGCACTCCGATATCATATCAGCAATGCAAGTGTCCCATTTTTGTGTCTCGTCGAAAATGTTTATGAATGCTCCAGACGTTCCCTTGCAAAATCTGCATGTTTTCTCCATTGTCCTGCAGGTAAATGAATCTTAAATAAGCTGCGTACATGAACACACAATTACGAATTGATGCGAAGATAAAACAAATAACAAACCAAATATGCGGCTTTTATGAATTCCAAATACAATTTTTTGTCACGACTATTTTGTGTTGACAAAAAGTAAAAATATAACTGTTAAGCGCGAAATGTAGCGCAGATGATTGCTTTTATGTGCTGTTAGGCGCGAATGAAATCGCTCGCCCTGTATGAATATTGTGTTATCGAATTAAATTATAAATTATTCGCAAGAAATTTTAAGATTTTTTAATGGAATATATGTATATATTCCTAAAGCATCTTTAAGGTACCATAAAATTAAAGGTCCCTCACACTTACAAATCTGATATGCAGTCTATTAAAATGATGGGTTTCTTCGCGGAGATAAGGAAAATTTGTTCAGGATCTTCCTAATTGAATGATGACATATCGAAGTCCCGGCTTTTAACTCAGACCATTTTACGTTTTTTTTTAACAAAATAATATACACATTTTAACAAATTAAATATATCTGTATTTTTTTCAAAGATAACGATTAAACTATATGCTTTTCATATTCAATTGGAACGAAATTGTAATCCCAAATTTTGACGTTTTTTTCGTTAATAATATTTTATAAATCATTTAAGAATTAGAACTAAATTGTTTTTCCAGTCAAATGACAATCATACAATAAGATTTAATTTAAAAATTTCGGTGATAGAAAACTGACTTAATAGGGTGTCTTAATCAAGTGGCGAGAATTGAATTATGTCTTCGACTATCGCAATTAGACTTTGAAAGTATGTTGAATTGCTTCATTTTCATCTTTAAAGGTCGTCCACATCTGGAATCGAAGTGGAAATACTAGAAGGGCCGTCTTTCAGGTGTTTCTTCCACTTGGAACACATTTCATTGCGGGTGTGTCTTAGAAGAGAAGACCTTTGCTTAAAGGTCTTTGGGCAGATAGAACACGTGTAACTAGTCTCATCACTGTGGGTAAGGACGTGTGCGGTGAGATGGTGCTTAAGTTTGAATGACTTCGAGCAGTGAGAGCACGGGAAGGGTCGATCATCTGTGTGACTACGGGTATGTACTTGCAGATCGTGCTTGTGCTTATAGGACTTTTTGCAGTTAGAACACTGGTACGGATGTCCTCCAGTGTGCGAACGGGTGTGCACTTTGAGCCCAGATTTTTGCTTAAATGATTTTGAGCAGTAAGAGCATTGGTACTTATGTCCTCCAGTGTGCGTAAGAGTGTGCGTATTAAGGTCATATTTATGCTTATATGATTTTGAGCACTGAGAGCATTGGAAAGGTCGATCATCACTGTGAGTTCGGATGTGCGCTTTGAGGGTGTTACGCTGTGTAAACGATTTTGAACATTGATTGCACTTATACGGTCGCTCCCCAGTGTGCACACGCATGTGTAATTTCAGTTCGTAATTTTGGATAAACGACTTTGAACACTCGGAACATTTGTTGCGTCGCTCCCCAGTGTGATAGCGAATGTGACTTTGAAGACTGGATTTTCGATCAAAGGATTTCGAGCAGTCAGAGCATTTGTAGGTTCTCTCACCAGTGTGCGTACGGATATGTAATTTGAGATCATGATCGTGTTTAAATGACTTTGAGCACTCAGAGCATTTGTACGCTCGTTCGCCGGTATGTGTACGGAGGTGAACCCCAAGAGTTCCAGCTTGGGAAAAGCACTTGGAGCAGTGCAAGCACTTGTACGGTCGCTCTCCCGTGTGAGTGCGTACATGTGTTTCCAAATGCTGTTTGCTGTTAAAAGGCATCATACAGTATGAGCATTGATAGCGCTGATCACCTGTATGCAATCGGATGTGATCGTTTAGAAGTCCGGCTCGTGAGAAGGTCATCGAACAGTGGTTACATTTATATGGTCGCTCCCCAGTGTGGATACGGGTGTGTTCGATGAGATGGGATTTTCGCTGAAAGGATTTCGAGCAGTCGGAGCACTTGTAGGTTCGATCCCCTGTTTGAGCGTGGGTGTGTATTTTTTTATCACCGGAAATATCGGTCCGCTCGCCTTCACTACCGGACATTTTCCAATCCTCGTCTTCCTGATTATCAGAGAGTTCTTCTTCTGTATCCTCTTCTATCCCTGGGAAATATAGCTTGTGGCTCTGCTCACAGGTTTTTGTAAGATTGAATGCATTCACAGCATCCTCAAGGCAAGGCGGACATATGTTTTCTGGTAGTGAATCACCTCGCCTAACCACGTACCCGGTACACTGGGCAATCATGTCACCAATGCACGTGTCCCACTTTTCTGTCTCATCGAAAATGTTTGTGAAGGCTTCAGACGTTCCCATGCAAACTCTGCATAGTTCCACCATTTTCCTGCAGGTAAATGAATATTATTAAACGGCGTACATGAACACACAATTACGAATTGATGCGAAGATAAAACCAAAAACAAACCAAACTTTTATGAATTGCAAATACAATTTTTGTTCACGACTATTTTGTGTTGAAAATATAACTGTGAAGCTCGAAATGTAGCACATATGTTTGCTTTTATGTGCTGTTAGGCGCGAATGAAATTGGTCGGACTGTATGAATATCGTGTTATCGAATTTAATTAGAAATATAAATTATAAAAGAAAATAATTTTGGTATGTACAAGTGAAATGACTTCGCATTCTAGGTTTTAACTCATTCGGAAAGCAAAAACTTCCTTAGAATACTGGCACACATTTTTGCAACCTTAATTGACTGCTTCAACTTTTCATGCAGACTACTTGGTATCTGATTCGAATTAATTACCATGAACGGGATCTACTGGAGATGCACGTGTCCTGACTGGGCTAATGATATTGGTTAGACCATATCGTCGGATCATATGCAAGTGGATAGATACTTTCATGTCATAGCCCGTCAAAAAAAGTATTCCATGCAATGGTTCATCAGAACACATCAGAATATTGACGAGTGCAAGGTTTTTTGTGAGCATCACAAAACATAAGCTGAATATTCTGGCCAGCGTTCATAACCATCGACCTGTATCACTTGTGACATATGTATATAAATGAGTCCGGCTGTAATATAATTCTATGCGAGACTTCACTGATGGCCCACTTGTCACTCGTGGAATGGGAGACTACCACGTGACATCGTCCTGTTCAAATGAAACCATTTTTGAGTAATTTTAATGTATTGAATTGGTATTTAACTTGAATAATACAATACATTTATGGGACTTTCCAGGAATACCTAAAGTTAAATTAATTATCGAGTAGCAAACATTCGAAATATCGTTATACGTTTTATCCCCTTTATATGATGAGGAGATCGTCCGTATCAGTATCTTTAACTGCTTCATTTTCTGGAATCGCAGTGGATGTTCTTTAGGTGGCGAATGAAGAATTAAATTATCCATATTTATCTTTTTAAGATCCGTTTTTTGTGTGAGTTCGGATGTGTTTTTGAAGATAAGAGTTTTGCTTAAAGGTCTTTGGGCAGTAGGAACATGAGTGGAGTTTTCCCTCAGTGTGGGTAAGGACATGTTCGGTGAGATGGTGCTTCTGCTTGAATGACTTCAAGCAGTGAGAGCACGAGTAGGGTCGATCTCCTGTGTGAGTACGGGTATGTATTTGCAGATGATGGCTTTGTTTAAAGGACTTTTCGCAATAAGAACACTGGTACAGATGTTCTCCAGTGTGCGTGCGGATATGCACATTAAGTCCCGATTTTTGCTTAAAGGTTTTTGTGCAGTGAGCGCATGGGAAAGGTCGATCATCAGAGTGAGTTCGGATATGCGCTTTGAGGGTGTTATGTTGTGTAAACGATTTCGAACATTCAGTGCACTGATATGGTCGCTCCCCAGTGTGCGTACGGATATGTAATTTGAGTTCGTATTTTTGTATAAACGACTTTGAGCACTCAGAGCATTTGTAGGCTCGTTCGCCGGTATGTGTACGGAGGTGAACCCCAAGAGTTCCAGCTTGGGAAAAGCACTTGGAGCAGTGCAAGCACTTGTACGGACGCTCTCCCGTGTGAGTGCGTACATGTGTTTCCAAATGCTGTTTTTTGTTAAAAGACATTATACAGTATGAGCACTGGAAGCGTTGATCGCCCGTATGCGATCGGATGTGATCGCTTAGAACTCCGGCTCGGGAAAAGGTCATCGAACAGTGATTACATTTATATGGTCGCTCCCCAGTGTGGATACGGGTGTGTTCGATGAGATGGGATTTTTGTAGAAATGATTTTGAGCAGTCGGAGCACTTGAAGGGTCGTTCTCCTGTGTGAGTACGGATGTGATGTTGTAGATTTGATTTTCTTAAGAAGGACTTCGGGCAGTGACTACATTTGAACAAAAGAGCCACATCCCCATCGTCTTTATGTATTTTTTCATCGCTGGAAAATTCGGACTGCTCTGCTTCATTGGCTGAAATTTCCGAATCCTCGTCTTCAAGATTTGCGCAGAGATGTTCTGTATCCTCCTCCTTCTCCATCGCCGGAAAATATAGTTGATGACTCTGCTCACAGGTTTTTATAAGATTGAACGCATTCACAGCATCCTCAAGGCAAGGCGGACATATGTTTTCTGGTAGTGAATCACCTCGCCTTACCTCGTACCCGGTACACTGGGCAATCATGTCAGCAATGCAAGTGTCCCACTTTTGTGTTTCATCGAAAATGTTTGTGAATGCTTCCGAGCTTCCAATGCAAACTCTGCATATTTCCTCCATTGTCCTGTAAGTAAATGAGTTTAAATGAACAGAATACAACAATGTTCACATATTTTCGAACTGTCTTGAATATTTTAATGGGTTTACCCAAAAGCAACCAAATTTAATGATTTTTTGATTGACAATTACTCCTCATGAATTTTTGTTTTGTTTTGGGAAAAATATAAACAAAATGTGCTGTAAAGTGCGAATAACATATGTTGGACTGTGTTATCGAATCTGTGCAGACGTCTCAGATTTGGTAAAAATATGGGTATTCTTGAAAGTTGTTTATGGATAATTTGGATTAACAAAAACAGGGAAAGGAACTTGGATTACATTTGAATATATGTATGTATTATCTACCCTGCACTCCATAATCAATCTGTTCACAGTTCTGATATAATATAAAGATCTGAAAAGCGAAGGTTTCTCGTATATTGAGGTTCTCGAGCCATCTCGTATAAGTCTACAATCTGCTGCCTGTATCACTTAAAAAAATGTTAGTTCTCGACTTCGGTTACGGTTTTGGTTAGTTGCCGTTAGGAGAAAGTTGAGCACCATATAAAATTCTCGATAAAAAATTCTGTTTTCTCGAAGGCTAGTTATGGTGTTGCTGACTGTTCGCAAATTAGTGTTCCAAAGTAAAACAATCAAACAATTATGCCGCAGTCCTGCTCCCAGCTCAACTGGAAAGCCAGCTGACGGGTATACTTCTCTCGCTCTGACTGCAGGCATTTCCCATAAGACTATATCTATTTTCCCAGCTAGTCAGTACCAAAGTTTAATGTCATAACACCTTCTCTGACTAGCTGGAAAAAAGAGATTAGAGACGAAATTTCGGGAAAAAATAACGCAAAAAATGATGAAATTTGAAGTTGAAAGCCTAATATCTTTCAGGCGTTAAGCAGTAGATACAAAGGGTCTGGGTCGGATTTATAGCTGCATTTAACAGCTTTTCAGAACTGCAAACTTAAGTTTGCAGTACAAGTTATGTGAAAAATAGAAGCACCACCTCTGAAAAAAACCATGAAAAAATACCAGTTTTTTTTAAATTCTTTAAAAAAAAAATGACACCAAAAAAAAAAATAAAGTACTAAGAAAACTTTTAAATCCCGAAGTCTATCAGAAAATTCATTTTGGTTCACAGCCTAAATAAAAAGTTTAATTTGTCGAGTAGAGTAGTGTTATTCAAGCAGCTGTTTTTTTGTTTACTTTCGTTCGTGATATTTGGAAAATGTTGAAAGATAAAGTTCGTGGGAAAAACTTTTCCCAGGTGGAGGAGCAGTCGATCTAGTCGATCTCGTAGATAGCGTAAAAAACATATTAGAGAATAAGAAGAGTAATGCAGTTACATGGAAGGTAAAAACGGAAGCGTGAAATCGGCTTTCCGAAAAATTTGCTGCACAAACTGGATCAGTTTGCCCTTGGAAAGCACTCAGGGACAAGTACGACAATTTAAAAAGAAAAGCCCGACGTGTATTTGCTGCCGAGAATCGGTATCGCACTGTTGGGAGAGGGCCTTCCTCCACTTCTGTGTCTGCTCTCTCCGAAAAGATAGGAGGTATTGTCCAAGTTTCTTCTCGTAGATTGGAAAATTCGTTTGACGATGATGGCAAGTATGATGGATTTTGTAAATACAATTTTTTACAATGTTTTCTTTAAATCTGCAGCATATAATCTTTTGATGTCAGATAATGACGGAGCTTCCAAATCGATCGCCTTAACGAATAGCTGCAGCCTGCAGCATTTCCGAGTGCTGTATGCAGCAGGTTGTAAAACTAAAATAGTATGTAAAGTATTTAAAGTATGCACATATGTGGATTATCTACTTTTAGGAAGACGACCCGCTTGACGTAAATATGCAAGCTTCTGAAAGACACAAAATTGAAATGGAGAAGCATAACATTAAATTTAAAAAGGAATTACGAGAAGCTGAGATAGAACAGGCAGAGGCTAGGAAGCATATACTATAAATTAAAATAAGAATAAGCTTACATTGCGAAATAATCAGAAATCTAAATTTGTCTATATCTTCCAATTTCTTCATTCCAGTTTTCAGTATCCAACTTATCAAGATTCAGAGCTTCTATTTGTACGTTTATATCACCATCATCAGTTATGGGATTGAAAATCTGTTCACTACTAAAGTTGACTTCATCTTCAAACTCGAATTCTCTCTCCAAGTTATGGAGCCTGCCGCCGGTAGGAAGTTTACCCTATCATGAGCCTTTGAAAAAACAAACTTTTATTTTTGGACACTTTAACGAAGCGATTAATTTTAACCCAAAGTCGAGCAGCCGGCCCTTAGTCTGTCAATTCTTTAATGCTATGCAGGCCTTCACACCCAACACCAAATGTCTGATGAAAAGCATGGGAAATAGATTATCCCACGACCAAGTGCAACGCTTTGTAAGAGTACCCTGTTGAAATGAAACCAATTTCTGAGTAGTTACAATGTAATGAATTTGTATTTGAAATTAACAATACATTTTCGGACTTTCAATAATCAATTTGTTTGATTTTTTCTAAGCGATATAATATTTAGAACCGTTCGGAACGTACTGTATGGAGGATGATCTCTCGAATAGTGGAGGAATGAAGAAATGCATATATTAGTTGACCTGCTTGTGTGTTTTCATGTGCCCTTTGAGGATGTTAGGCTGCGTAAACGCCTTTGAACATTGATTGCACTCATACGGTCGCTCCCCAGTGTGCATACGCATGTGTAATTTCAGTTCATGTTTGTATATAAACGACATTGAGCATTCGGAGCATTTGTTGGGTCGATCCCCCGTGTGAGTACGGGTGTGTGCATCAAGTCTGCATTTTTGTGCGAAGGATTTTGAGCAGAAGGAGCAACTCAAGGGTTGATCACCTGTGTGCGTACGGCTGTGTAGTTTGAGTTCGTGTTTGTGTATATACGACTTTGGACACTCGGAACATTTGTAGGGTCGATCCCCTGTGTGAGTACGGGTGTGTGCATCAAGTCTGCATTTTTGCGCGAAGGATTTCGGGCACAGGGAACATTTGTAGGGACGCTCACCTGTGTGCGTACGGATGTGTAATTTGAGTTCGTGTTTGTGTTTAAACGACTTTGAGCACTCGGTGCACTGGTAGGGTCGATCCCCCGTGTGAGCACGGGTGTGAATATCGAATGTGGATTTTTGTAAAAAGGACTTTGAGCAGTAGGAGCACTTGTAGGGTTGATCACCTGTGTGCGTATAGATGTGTAGTTTGAGTTCCGCTTTTAGTATAAAAGACTTTGGACACTCGGAGCATTTGTAGGGTCGATCTCCTGTGTGTATACGGGTGTGTGCATCAAGTCGGAATTTTTGTGGGAAGGATTTCGAGCAGAAGGAGCATTTATAGGGTCGATCACCAGCGTGCGCACGGATGTGATATTGGAGACTGGATTTTCGCATATAAGACTTCGGGCACTGAGGACATTTTAACCGAAGATCAACATCATTATCAACTTTATGTATTTTTTCACCGCTGGAACATTCGGACTGCTCGTCTCCACTACCTGACATTTCCGTGTTCTCGTCTTCCCGATTATCAGATGGGTCTACCTTATCCTCCTCCATCAGTGTGAAATAGAGTTGATGGCTCTGCCCACAGGTTTTTATAAGATTGAACGCATTCACAGCATCCTCAAGGCAAGGCGGACATATGTTTTCTGATAGTGAATCGCCTCGCCTTACCTCGTACCCTGTACACTGGGCAATCATGTCAGCAATGCAAGTGTCCCACTTTTGTGTCTCATCGAAAATGTTTGCGAAGGCTTCAGACGTTCCCATGCAAACTCTGCATATTTCCTCCATTGTCCTGCAATTAGATGAATTTTAATAAACGGAATACACCAATATGTATATTCGTTTGAAATGAGCGAAATCAAACCCACAAGAAACCAAATGGTGTTGTTTTTCTGAGTTTAAGTATATATTTCTTGGCGAAAATTTTGTTGTGAGAAAAATGAATATTGGAAAAGTGCTGTTAAGCGCAAACATATTAATTGAATGAAAACATATGTTATGTTATCGGATGTAAGAACATGGGTACTCCTACAATTAGTTTTCACTTTGATCTGATTTGATTAATAAATTTCTTCAGTGCTTATAGCCATATGACATTAGACCAAGACAATTTTTTTGCGTAGAGAGGGATAGCACTAGAGACAAAATGAAACATTATTGTTCGTAGCCGTCTCTTGTCACATCTAATGGCTTTTAGTAGAACAACTGAGGCACTACTTGACACACAGTGATGTTTTCCAGCAGAACACAGACACAAAGCCAGCAAAATTGTATCCGCAAAGTAAAATTTTCTATATATTCTGCCGCAGCGCTTCTCGCAGCTCAACTGGACAGCCAGCTTGACGCATATAGTTCTCCCGCTCTGACTGCAGGCATTTTCCATAAGGCCATCTTTATTTTTCCAGCTAGTCACTTAGCAAAGTCTAATGTCATATGGCTATTATCAAAATTGGATCAGAACCAGCTTGTAAAAGGATACATTTTTCGAGTTGTATCTTATTATCATACCTATTCGCACAGTTGAGCTTCTGGAGAATATTTATTTTGTAAGAAGAAGAAATGCATACAAATTTCGTAATCTCTAACCATAGATGGTTTTGTGTATTTAATCGTCGTTGAAACTAATCTCATATGTACCTTAAATATAAATAAAAGTTTGAAATATTTTTACTTAGTCTTCTGAAAGAGAAAAATTAAAAATCATAACATTCGTGAGAAGTGACTGAGTATCTGAATAAAGAATAAGAGATATACTTCACATATCCTTGGGTAAATTCAAGCGGATCGGATCTATTAATCTAAAGTTTAAACTATAAAATAAAATTTTTTTCTAAAAGAGACGTAAAAATGAATAAAAACTGCTCTGACGTTTGCAAGCGTTTTCCGATTGATTTTTAAAGTATGTTATATTTAAAATATGTTCTCTAATTAATTAATGCAGTAGTAACATTTTTTTTGTATTAATACTTAAAACTGTTTATAACAATAACATTAAATACATAATGTTGGATATTGGCCATTGGTCATTTTGTTAATTATTTCGACCAAATAATCGTCTGGCTTATTGGAGTCATCCTCTACCAACAATTTTTCCATACCTTCATACATCGTTTTAAATTATTTTCTTACTCATTTCAATTAAGAATTTACACAGTAAAGAGGTTAGCGAAAATAATTAAACATGCAAAGATTATGTACATATGTAAAGAGCTTAAAAATCGCGTTCTGCAGTTAGCGCAATCGAATCATCCTTTCTCAGCGATCTTGCGGATGTGATCTCAAAGACTGCCGGAGTGGCACTCTTTTTAGTGTTTTTGTGAGTGCGCATGTGTCTTTTGTAGCTATTGTTTTTGTATCGAAATGTCTTTGAGCAGTGGGCACACTTGAAAGGACGCTCCCCTGTGTGAGAACGGATGTGTACCCTGAGATTCGATTTTTCTTGAAATGATTTCGAGCAGTGGGAGCACTTGTAGGGTCTTTCATCCGTGTGCGTAAGGGTATGTCTTTTAAGATTGGATTTGTCTATAAAGCCTTTCGAGCAGTGGGAGCATTTGTAAGGTCGTGTGTGAGAGCGGATGTGTGCAATAAGTTTGAATTTTTGTAGAAATGACTTTGAGCAGTCGGAGCATTTGAACGGTCGTTCACCTGTGTGCGTAAAGGTGTGTTTTTGGAGTTGGGATTTTAGTTGAAATGACTTCGAGCAGTCGGTGCATTTGTAGGGCAATCCTTCCGTGTGCGTAAGGATGTGAATCTTGAGAGGTCCGTTTCGAGTAAAGGACTTGGAGCAGTGTGAACACTTGTACGGTCGCTCCCCAGTGTGTTTACGGATGTGTATCTTGAGATGAGATTTTTCTGTAAACGACTTCGAGCAGTGAGAGCACTGGTAGGGTCGTACATCTGAGTGCCATCGACGGATATGAACCTGGAGATTGGAGCCAATGGCAAAACACTTTGAGCATTTAGAACACTTATAAGGTTTCTCTCCCGTGTGGATACGACTGTGTCTCTTGAGATTAGCCTGTCGCTTAAATGACTTGAGGCAGTGGGTGCATTGGTAAGGCTCTTCCCCTGTGTGAACACGGATGTGCATTTTGAGCTTGCTTTGACTAATAAAGGACATTGAGCAGTCAGAACACTTGTAAAGTCTCTCCGCCGTGTGGGCAGGACAGTGTCTTCGGAGAATCGATTTTAGCTTAAATGACTTTAGGCATTGTGGGCATTGGTAGGGTAGTTCATCCGTGTGCTTACAGATGTGCACTGTAAGTTCGCTTTTACTTTTAAAGCAGTCTGAGCAGTAGGAGCACTTATAGGGTCGTTCCCCGGTATGTGTACGGATGTGTACCTTCAGTGCGCTCATGCTTACGAATGATTTTGAGCAGTGGGAACATTTGTTGGGTCGCTCCCCAGTGATATAACGTATGTGACTTTGAAGACTTGATTTTCGATCAAAGGTTTTGGAACAGTGAGAGCATTGGTGAAGTTTTTCACCGGTGTGCGTACGAATGTGATTTTGCAAATTGTATTTTCTTTTGAAAGACTTCGAGCAGTGAGTACACTTAAACAGAAGATCCAACTCCTTATCATTTTTTCCTCTTTTTGACTTTTGCCAATCTTCCTGTTCAAGTTTATCACATAGATCTTTTTCCTTATCCTCTTCCATCTGGGTGAAATAGAGTTGATGGCTCTGCTCACAGGTTTTTATAAGATTGAATGCATTCACAGCATCCTCAAGGCAAGGCGGACATATGTTTTCTGGTAGTGAATCACCTCGCCTAACCACGTACCCGGTACACTGGGCAATCATGTCACCAATGCAAGTGTCCCACTTTTCTGTCTCATCGAAAATGTTTGTGAAGGCTTCAGACGTTCCCATGCAAACTCTGCATAGTTCCTCCATTTTCCTGCAGGTAAATGAATCTTATTAAACGGCGTACATGAACACACAATTACGAATTGATGCGAAGATAAAACCAAAAACAAACCAAACTTTTATGAATTGCAAATACAATTTTTGTTCACGACTATTTTGTGTTGAAAATAGAACTGTGAAGCTCGAAATGTAGCACATATGATTGCTTTTATGTGCTGTTAGGCGCGAAAAAAATTGGTCGGACTGTATGAATATTATGTTATCGAATTTAATTATAAATTTATTATAATGGTATGTACAAGCAAAGACTATAGTCTTTGGTACAAGTGATATGACTTCGCATTCTAGGTTTTAACTCATTCGGAATACTCAGAATACTGGCACACATTTTTGCAACCTTAATTGACTGCTTCAACTTTTCATACAGGCTATTTGGTAACTGATCCGAATTATTTACAATGAACGGGATCTACTGGAGATGCACGTGTCCTGACTAGGCTAATGATATTGGTTAGACCATATCGTCGGATCATATGCAAGTGGATAGATACTTTCATGTCATAGCCCGTCAAAAAAAGTATTCCATGCAATGGTTCATCAGAACACATCAGAATATTGACGAGTGCAAGGTTTTTTGTATATATGTATATAAATGAGTCCGGCTGTAATATAATTCTATGCGAGACTTCACTGATGGCCCACTTGTCACTCGTGGAATGGGAGACTACCACGTGACATCGTCCTGTTCAAATGAAACCATTTTTGGGTAATTTTAATGTACTGAATTGGTATTTAACTTGAATAATACAATACATTTATGGGACTTTCCAGGAATAACTAAAGTTAAATTAATTATCGAGTAGCACACATGCGACAAATCGTTATACGTGCTATCCTCTTTATTGATGAGGAGATCGTCCGTTATCAGTACCTTCAACTGCTTCATTTTCTTCTTTAGAGGTCGTCCACGTCTGGAATCGCGGTTGACCTTCTTTATGTGACGTATAGATTATCTCAAAAATAAGCGGAATAAGTAAATGAATTGTTTCATCTTTAACTCTTTAAGGGCCGCTTTTTGTGTGAGTTCGGGCGTGTCTTTTAAGAGAAGACTTTAGCTTAAAGGCCTTTGGGCAGTATGAACATGAGTGGAATTTTTCCTCAGTGTGGGTTAGGAAATGTTCGGTGAGATGTCGCTTCTGCTTGAATGACTTCAAGCAGTGAGGGCACGAGTAGGGTCGCTCTCCTGTGTGAGTACGGATATGCATTCGCAAACAGCTGTTTTTTTTAAAGGACTTTTCGCAGAAAGAACACTCGTACGGAAGTTCTCCAGTGTGCGTAAGAATATGCACACTGAGGCCCGATTTTTGCCTAAAGGTTTTTGTGCAGTAAGCGCATTTGAAAGGTCGATCATCAGAGTGAGTTCGCATGTGCGCTTTAAGGCCTTTACGGTTTGGAAACGATTTTGAACATTGATTGCACTGATATGGTCGCTCCCCAGTGTACGCACGAATGTGCGTTTGAAGAGTGTTATGCTTTTTAAACGATTTTGAACAATGAGGGCACTGATATGGTCGCTCCCCTGTGTGGATGCGGGTGTGTTCCATGAGATGGTCTTTTCGTTTAAATGATTTCGAGCAGTCGGAGCACTTAAAGGGTCTTTCCCCTGTGTGCGTACGGATGTGAAGTTGTAGACTTGATTTTTCCAAGAAGGACTTCGGGCAGTGACTACATTTGAACGGAAGAGCCACATCCTTATCATCTTTGTGTATTTTTGCATGGCCGGAAAATTCGGACTGCTGTCCTTCATTGGCTAAAATTTCCGAATCCTCATCTTCAAGATTTTCGCAGAGATCTTCTGTATGCTCATCCTTCTCCAACACCGGGAAATATATTTCATGGCTCTGCTCACAGGTTTTTTTAAGATTGAATGCATTCACAGCATCCTCAAGGCAAGGCGGACATATGTTTTCTGGTAGTAAATCCCCTCGCCTAACCACGTACCCGGTACACTGGGCAATCATGTCAGCAATGCAAGTGTCCCACTTTTGTGTCTCATCGAAAATGTTTGTGCAGGCTTCAGACGTTCCCATGCAAGCTCTGCATAGTTCCCCCATTGTCCTGCAAGTAAATGAATCTTAAATAAAAGAAATACAAGAACGTACCATTACTTGACAACCAATCAATGACAACCAAATTGTGCGTTTTTTTTAAATTTCTTACGCTTCCTTGCTAAAATTGTTTTGTTTTGAGAAAAGAAGAAACAAAATGTGCTGTAATGCGCGAATAACATCTGTTGGACTGTGTTATCGAATCTGTGCAGAGGTTTAAGATTTGGTAACAATATGGGTATTCTTGAAAGTTGTTTATGGATAATTTGGATTAACGAAAACAGGGAAAGGAACTTGAATTACATTTTAATTGTTATTATCTGTTTATTTATAGCTCAGAAAAAAAAGAAACGAAAGCATTTGCATCTGTATATATGTATGTATTATCTAACCTGGACTGTATAATCAATCCGTTTCACAGGTCTGTAGGCGTATATAATATATAAACATCTAATGCGCGGAAGGTGTCACGGATCTTGAGCTTCCTGAGCCATCTTGTGCATGTCGATAACCTGCTGGCTATATCATTTGACACAAATGGGGTCACTCCAAACCAATCTCGAAGCCACTTTCTAGTAGGACAGATTTAAATAATGGTACATAGACTAAGTGTAACGCTTGATAACAACAGTATCCTGTACAATTTAAACTAATTTCTGATTATTTGTGATATAATGAATTAGAATTAATTAAATAATAATAATTAATACATTTTCGGTACTTTCAATAAATTTGTTTGCTTTTTTTTAAGCGATTTCAGGCAGGCTCCGGTTGTCACTATCAATAAAATATACTTTTGAAAACGGAAAGTTAAGCACTCCCGCATTCGGAAACCGCAACATTTTTCCGTTTTCAAAACAATTGCAAATTCCTCACCAAAATGAAAAGTAAACGGCTTTATATACAACAAAACTAATCTTAATTGAAAAATAAACAAAAAATAGATGGCTGTTTGATGCATTGACATGGATTTGAAACCATTACCAGTTCAATTCAGCTTGTGCACTTTTTATAAATAATTTTCATATAAACCAACCTCGAGATTTCATCTGAAAAAATTTTTCTGGGCAAAAACAAAAAGTGAATTCATCTTTACAGCTGTGGCAGCCCGATCTGGCTATCGATAAATCCCTGTTAACCATAACAAGGGGCTTTTTGTATAAGCTGGCACTAACGCGTATGAATAATAGAAATAAGTTTTGCGCCTAACAGTACAGGATGAAATAAACCACACTTCTGCGAATGTCAGAGCGCCTTGAAATGAAAGGTATGACTTTTGGCTGAAAAAGTAAAACGCCAAAGTAAGCGAAAACGGGAGTCTGCCTGTATATGTTTTTATTGTTAATATCGAGACTGTTCTGAATAATAAATCTACTTTTTTATCACTAAATTACATTCAATGTATTATGTCTTCAGCTCGAAATTGTTGCGAATCTTTCGTGAGTGTCCGAATGGTTCATAATGTAGTTCCGTCTGCGAATACCTAAATTATCCCCTTTTAATAGTTGCAATAATGCACTCGCATTCCGAACGTATCCTTTATCTTATCATCGAAATCTTTACAGAGGTTCCAGTTTAGTTTCTAGGAGCGGTGTTATCTCGTCGGGTACTCCACTGGCACACAAGTCATTGCTTGTGTGACTAAGGATGTGTTTTTTGTAGCTTTTGTTATTGGATTTAAATGACTTGGAGCAGTGCAAGCACTTGTACGGTCGCTCGTCGCTCGTCAAGTCATTGTTGCTTGTGTGTTTAAGGATATGTTGTTTGTAGCTTCTGTTATTGTATTTAAATAACCTGGAGCAGTGTGGACATTTATAGGGGTTTTCTCCCGTGTGGATACGACTGTGTACTTGGAGATGGGAGTTTTGTAGAAATGACATCGAGCAGTGAGAGCATTTGTAGGGTCGATCCCCCGTGTGAGTTCGGAAGTGTACATTAAGATGGGATTTTTGTACGAAGGACTTTGAGCAGTCGCTGCATTTGTAAGGTCGTTCATCCGTATGCATTAGAATGTGAGTTTTAAGGCTGCTTTGCATTTTGAAAACTTTGGAACACTGAGGACACTGGTAAGGTGTTTCGTGATCATTCGTGTGCTTCCGCATATGAGCTGTGAGAGCTTTGGTGTTAACAAAGTCCTTGGGGCAGTGAATACACTTAAACGGACGCTCTCCCGTGTGAGTACGAATGTGTTTTTCGAGCTCGTGATTATACGAAAAAGACTTTCCGCAGTACGAACATAGGCAGGGTCGATCCCCTCTGTGGGTAAGCATGTGTCCCATGAGATAGGTTTTTAGTTGAAAGGATTTTGGGCAGTCGGGGCATTTGAATGGTTTGTCACTCGAGTGCGTACGGATGTGTTTTTCTAGATTGGATTTTTGTGCGAAACTTTTCGAACATACGGAGCATATGAAGGGTCGTTCACCAGTGTGGTTACGGAAGTGTAATCTTAAATCGCATTGTCGTGGAAAGGATTTCGAGCACTGCGAGCAATTATACGGCCTCTTTTCAGTGTGCTTACGGATGTGAAGTTGAAGTTCGTCTTTGTCTAAAAAACCTTTTAGGCAAATTTCGCACATTATGTCCTCCATTTTCCTGTAAATAAAAAGAACTTAAATACACGGAATCGACGCACAATAACGAAAACGTACGAAAGTATGCGGACTTTCTTCTTTTTTAATAATTCTTTGCTGAATTGCGACTAGGGCTGGCTATCCAAAATATATTTAAAATATCGATATATCAATATTTTAAGCGATATATATCATATCACTCTGATATGTTAAAAAATAATAGATCATCGATATGATATTTGTTAAATATTTGGCAGCCGTAATACTGACTCTGTATGCGGATAAAACTTATGCTATGTTATCGGAATAATTCGTATAGGATGTTTCAGCGCATGGGTATGCCTGAAAATGAATTACGTTTGTTTTGAAGTAATAAATTCTGTGATTGGATTGTACTGTAATATAAATTAGCTACAAAAGAAATTATTCCCTCTGCTTAAAATACGAGTGCCATACAAAAACAGCTGTTCAACAAGTAACTAAACTGAAATCGGAGTCGTTACAGCTACTGACTTAGCTTTAAATAGAATACATAATCGATTTTACATCAACACAAAATTAAAGAATGCAATTTTAAATTTATTATCATAATTTATTCTATGTATTTAAACTATTCTGTATAACAAATATTTTTTTTTATACATATTTCTATGTAAATGTCTTCAGCCCGAGCTTGTGACGGTTCATCCTTAGTGTCTGCATTCTGGAGCTTCTGCAGAACTCAATTCCTTAGCTTCGTCTGCGAATACTAAAATTAAATTAACGTTGTAATCCCCTGAATTAAAGCATTAATTCACTCGTGAGCCCAAAGGTATCCTTTGTGTAATCTGAGCATGCCAGATGCAAATTGCAAAAATTCTTTAAGGAACTTGGAACAGTGAGGACACTGGGGAGCGGAATAGTCGGATCGGACGAAAGCCCTTAGAGTAGTGACTACATTTGTATTTTATACTTTAAGATTGAAATTTTTCGAAAAGGATTTTCCACATTGGGAAGATAGGAATGATCGTTCACCTGTGTGCGTACGGATGTGTAATTTGAGTTCGTAATTCTTTATACACGACTTTAAGCAGTGGGAACATTGGTAAGGTCTTTTGCCGGTATGTGTACGGATGTGATCCCTGAGATGTGTGCGTTGGGAGAAAGATCTGGAGCAGTGGCTGCATTAGTAGGGTCGCTTACCGGTATGCACACGGATATTCTCCCGAAGAGTTCAGGCAATAATATTGCTTGGATTTTCGCATCTACATATATATAATTTATCTGGATACACACGTATGCGCTAATCAGCATCCGGCGGACCATATGTAAGTAGATAGATGTTTACGTAATGTCATACCCCGTCAAAAAAAGTATGCCATGCAAGAGTTGATCAGAAACACGCTGCAACCAAATATTGACGAGGGAAAGGTCTGTTGTGAGCATCACAGAACATAAGCTGAATATTCTGGCCAGCGTTAAGTACCATCGCCCTGTATCATTTGGGACATAGTATGTACATATGTATGTATATAAATCCGGCTATTTTATAATTCTATGCGAGCCCTCACTGATGGCCCATTTTTCAGAGATAAGCGTGGGAGACTACAGCGCGATATCGTCCTGTTCAAATGAAACCATTTCGATTAATTTTAATGATTTAATTTATATTTAAATTGAATAATACAATACATTTTTGGGACTTTCCAGGAATAACTAAAGTTAAATTAATTATCGAGTAGCAAACATGCCAAAAATCGTTCTGCGTTCTATCCTCTTTATATGATCAGTATCAGTTATCAGTATCTTCAACTGCTTCATTTTCTTTTTTAGAGGTCGTCTGGACTCGCAAGGGACATTCTTTATGTGGCGTGTATATTTTATCTCAAAAATTTAATTTTTCCATCTGTAACACTTTAGGGCCGTTTATTGTGAGTTCGGGTGTGTCTTTGAAGATGAGAGTTCTTCTTAAAGGTTCTTGGGCAGTAAGAACATGTGTGGAGTTTTCCCTCAGTGTGAGTAAGGACATGTTTGGCGAGATGGGGCTTTTGATTGAATGACTTCAAGCAGTGAGAGCACGAGTAGGGTCGATCTCCTGTGTGAGTACGGGTATGTATTTGCAGGTGGCTTTTTTTTTTAAAGGACTTTTCGCAGTAAGAACACTCGTATGGAGATTCTCCAGTGTGCGTACGGATGTGCACACTGAGGCCAGATTTTTGTGTAAACGATTTCGAACATTGACTGCACTGATATGGTCGCTCTCCAGTGTGCGTACGGATGTGTATTTTGAGTTCGTATTTTTGTTTGAACGACTTTGAGCACTCGGAGCATTTGTAGGCTCGTTCGGTGATATGTGTACGGAGGTGAACCCCAAGAGTTCCAGCTAGGGAAAAGGACTTGGAGCAGTGCAAGCACTTGTACGGTCGCTCATCGCTCGTCAAGTCATTGTTGCTTGTGTGATTAAGGATATGTTGTTTGTAGCTTCTGTTATTGTATTTAAATAACCTGGAGCAGTGTGGACATTTGTAGGGGTTTTCTCCCGTGTGGATACGACTGTGTACTTGGAGATGGGAGTTTTGTAGAAATGACATCGAGCAGTGAGAGCATTTATGGGGTCGAACCCCTGTGTGAATACGCATGTGTGCATTAAGATGGGATTTGTATAGGAAGGACTTTGAGCATTCGCTACATGTGAACGGTTTTTCATCCGTATGCATTCGAATGTGAGTTCTTAGGCTGGTTTGATTTTTAAAAACTTTGGAACAGTGAGGACACTGGTAAGATTGTTCTCGTTCCGTCGTGTGCATACGCATATGAGAATTGAGAGATTTGAGCTGAACAAAGTCCTTGGGGCAGTGAATACACTTAAACGGACGCTCTCCCGTGTGAGTACGAATGTGTTTTTCGAGCTCGTAATTATACGAAAAAGACTTTCCGCAGTACGAACATAGACAGGGTCGATCCCCTCTGTGGGTAAGCATGTGTCCCATGAGATAGGTTTTTAGTTGAAAGGATTTTGGGCAGTCGGGGCATTTGAATGGTTTGTCACTCGAGTGCGTACGGATGTGTTTTTCAAGATTGGATTTTTGTGCGAAAGTTTTCGAACATACGGAGCATATGTAGGGTCGTTCACCAGTGTGGTTACGGAAGTGTAATCTGAGATCGCATTTTCGTGGATAGGATTTCGAGCAGTGGGAGCATTTGTGGGGTCGTTTTGGATTATCCGTCTTATCAGTATTATTTCGATGTATTTTAGCATCGGTTTCAATTTGTTGCGATAGCTCACTTTCGTTAGGTGGCGGCTTCCAGTCCTTGTCTTTCGGATCATCACACAGCTCTTCTTCTTCATCCTCTTCCATCTGGGTGAAATATAGTTGATGGCTCTGCTCACAGGTTTTTATAAGATTGAATGCATTCACAGCATCCTCAAGGCAAGGCGGACATATGATTTCTGGTAGTGAGTCACCTCGCCTAACCACGTACCCGGTACACTGGGCAATCATGTCACCAATCGAAGTGTCCCACTTTTCTGTCACATCGAAAATGTTTGTGAAGGCTTCAGACGTTCCCATGCAAACTCTGCATAGTTCCTCCATTTTCCTGCAGGTAAATGAATATTTAATAAACGGAATACAGGAACGCACCATTAATTGATGGAATTTAGTCGATACAAAAATAACAACCAACCAAATTGTGCGGATTTTCTGAATTTCTTATGTTTCTTGCTCGGATTGTTTTGTTTTGAGAAAAATGTAGAAGAAAAATATGCTGTTAGGCGCCGCAAACATATGTTGTAATGTTATTGTTATCGGAATAAATCGAAGGGATGTTTCAGAATAAGGGTATGCCTGAAAATGAAATAGATTTGTTTGGGATTAATAATTTATGCGAAATGACTGCGGATACTATAAAAGCTAGATCAGAGGCTCGGTCTGGACTTGCTTAAAAGGGTAAATATAGAATGGAACGAATTATGAATTTCTTATAATTCATAAGCGCAGGTCAATATGCTATATATGAGCGTTACCAAATTGCAGAAAATGGGAATCTGTTGCACAGAGTTGCCATGCGCACTTCTCCAGTTGAAGGAGAGTTCATGTAAATACCAACATATCGTAACGCAAAAAACTTTTGAATACACACTTTAATAATAAAATAAATTTGCTTTTCATTGGTATATGTACGTAATATTTTTAAATGCGAAGGTATATTTGTGGGGTATTTTTTGGGTTGTCATGGAAAGGTATGGATGGCAGGCAAAAACAGCCAAGGGAAATTACAAGTCTCGTACGAGCCTCACCTTACCATACAGATTGGGACATTTTTATAAACTTCATGGTATGTTGGGAAAAAGGTTGGATATTACATAGCATGCGTTTGGTCTTATGGGCCGTTTTGAGTGTTGTCCATACCTTTTTTTTACCTTTCCGGCAACGAAAATAAAAAACAACTTTTAGTTTTAGCCAAGTCGCACGTGATTGCAGTAAAAGTTTTTTGTTTTTGGATTTTGCTTGAAAATTATGCCTTCTATTATTGCCCTTAGAGCTGTCAAACGATTGATAGTTAAGCCATCGAGAGTTTTGAATATTTTGAAAAAAAAAATCGATACTATCGTGATAGTATCGGGCTCAAATAATTATTAATTATTTTTTCGTTGATATTTACTGGTTACTAACCTGATTAAATAGAGCGGGGATAACCTATTTTTTTTTCTCGGTTTCTGAGGTTCCAGTCACACTCGACAAAACAAATGAAGTGAAATATTTATTTTTCCATATATTAATATACTTTTGAAAATTACCGCCAAATACTGACATTTTTCGCTCTCAATTCGTGGTGGTTTTTCAAAAGTTTCTCTCTTTTCCGAGGTGAAGAGAGCGTTTTCGTGGTGACTTTCCCCTCATTTTCGTGGTGTGGCAGCATGTATCTTACGGTAACGTAGATTCATGGTTGCGACGTTCCCGTAAGATACATTTGATTTGTATAGGAAAAAATTCAGCAGCATGTGGAAATTAAGTAGCAGCATTGTTGTGCAACTTTGGCACGGAATGAGCAACAATCTGCATACCTTGGGAAAATGGATATTATGGACTTGAGATATTGTTTGTAATTTCAGGATCCAATTAATGCAGAAACTACTAAAACACATCAACGAAATTTTGTAGCTCATGGGTACCAATAATAGGTATCAGAACCGGGATAAATGTATATATAAAACACAAAACATTTGCATAGATAGGTAAAAAATTACTTAATCTAACGAAAATGCAATATTAATGTTTTAAAGCAGCCTGAAACAACAAATTTAACATCAATTAAAGGAAATAAGGTATACAAAAGTCCATACGCATAGAAGAAACTAGGTTGACCAGCAACAATGACGTTACATTGCTTTGGCCGTTTTTGTTTGAACCCTATTATCTAAGCAATCCCATTAAAAATAGTTCTGAAAACTAGCCAATCCTTAACAAAATTAAGGAATTTGATAAAATTATTGGTTTATGGCTGAGGGGGCCAACTAGCTAGTAATATTAAACGGAATATCAAAATCGAGGAATATCATGTCACAAAATATTATGGTATGGCAGCCCGCAGCAACTACGAATTGCACGAGTCTGGCAGCGCCACAAAACGACGTCACATTCGTTTTATGTTGTTTTTGTTTGAACCTTAATATATAAACAATCCAATAAAAAGGACTTCTGTAAACTTGCCAATCTTGTAGAAAATTGATGTCTCTATCGGATAAAATTATTTTTTTAGGGCTGAGAGGCCCAACTAGCTAGTAATATTAAGTTCCACTTCAACGATAACGATAAATGATATCAGTTTAGTTCCGTCTCCATCGAAACTTGTCCAACGAAAAACGCGAACGGAGCGCCAGTGCAGGCGACAATAAAAGTATGGGCACAAATTCGTATCAAAATGAAAGTGGAAATCGTGTGATGTCATGTTGACGACAAAACTGTGTTCTGCTCTGCCGTTTTTTGTTAATTGAAACAACTTCCTGCACTGCTGCGCTGCCTACTGCTGCTGTGTGGGTGTGGGCGAGTGTGCAACACGCGCCTGGAATATAATTTTGTTGTTCAAAGTGCGACAAGTGCAAAAACAAACGCACATTTTGGCTTGTGAAAAAGAATTTAATTGAACAGAAATTCCAATTTTCATTACACTTCACTGAAGAGCAGCACAAAAGAGAAAAGGTAAAACGCACACGCACACACCAGCGCAGCGCAGAGCTGAGAACATCACAGTGTGTGTGTGTGTGTGTGTGGAGTTATGAACGCCTCCCCACATTTTGAATGTGTGTGAGTGCGCGCTCCACGTCCGGCATAAACAAAAAGAGACGAAAAACTTTTATTGATTTCCCTCCAAAAACAAAAACAGAGGGAGAACAAGAAATCTACGATTCCGCCCAAGCAACAGGAGAGAGACAGGCGGAGCCGCTGCCACGCCTACGGGCTGCCTTTACCGTCCGATCCAGCCACACTCCCCTCTCCATAAGCAGCACCCTCTTCTCCACCAGCCATGTCCAGTCCCAGCCAAACGGAGGGCAGCCAATCCCTTGAGGAGCTGCGCATGGAAGTGGAGCGTCTGACCCGGGAACTTGACCAGGTTTCCTCCGCCAGCGCCCAGTCCGCGCAATATGGCTTATCCCTGCTGGAGGAGAAGTCGGCGCTGGAGCAGAAATGCGAGGAGCTGGAAACGCTCTACGACAACACCCGGCACGAGCTGGACATCACGCAAGAGGTAAGCGGTGGTCGGGAAAGGGGGGAATATACAGTGGGACATCGTTGAGGTGTACAACAGGCAGTTCAAATATCTGTAAATATCTCATTAAAGGATGGGATTAATCTGTAATCTGTTATATGCAAGTACATTGCGGATCTCCTTCCGGTGAAGCCCTTATCAGACTTCCGTATGTGCTCTTGAAACCTTCGTTACGCAATACACCGGAATCTCCTTTAGCCAGGGTCCACTGTAATCACCATTCTGATCTGTTTCCAAGTATTCGCCACTTATCTGCTATCTTGCTCACCCAACTATTTAGCACGCACACAGACATAGAGCACAAGCGTTTTCACAATCGACTTCAATTTGTCTTGCTGGCAAATTAACTCGCTCACCTGTTGGCCAGTCTCTCTCTTTTCTCTCTCTCTCTGGCTTTTGTCTTTTGCATTACTCTCTTTTGTCTGGTCTGCCAGGTCTACCTGAAATAATCGCTGATCGAACTGAGTCCACTGTCCATGACCATATGGTCACGTGCTGCTTTTCTAAACTGGGCTTGCGGTACTTTTAACCGATTCAGTGCATTCTCTCTCACGCATTCTAACTCTCGCTTTGTCTCTCTCTCTCTCTCCTGAACAAGGTTAATTGGTGCAGGCATAAGGGGTCTTCCTGAAAGTGGTTTTGTTTGGATTTTGATTCGTATCCATGTTCTGAAAATTTAATTTCATGAACAGCTGATTAGCTTGTACTGTAACGTAACTGATACAACTAAAAATTTTAAATATATTTGTGTGTTAAAATGGCTAAATATCGCAAATACTTAATACGCAAGAAAAAACACCTGTAAATAGCTGTAAACGTTAAAGAAAACAAAAATCAAAAACAGCTGTCAATATTACTTCCATTGTTTTAGTTCTCTTGTTTTTGCACGGTCAATCTATTTTTGCAATTTCATTTTGCACCTACGTTTAGCGCCATATTCTCTCTCTTTGTCCCGCTCATGCCCATCAGTTTAAGCAAACTCTCTGCCAATTAGTCGTCGCTGCCGCTTGGCATTTCCGCTGGAATTTCTACCGTTTGGGGTGCCTAGGCGGTTGGATGGAAAAGACAGGAACCGGGCATAGCCAGACGACAGGCAAAGTTTTGTCCCTTTGTCTGCAAAAATCAAATGGGGGAACTATAATCATTCTGCCTCCTATTTTTTTTGTTTGCCATTGCTGACTCTACTTTTCTCTTTGTTTTGTTGATAATTAAAGCGGTTGCTAAAGCAAACGATATTTCTACGGTTATGACTAGCAGGGGAGAGATAAAAAATGTCTGTCTAATTATGCAAGTTATGCGATAATTTTTAATTTGCTTTCAATTGAACGGAAAAATATTTAATTTCGGTATGTAAAATAAGAACTCAAAGTAAAACGTGCAAATTGTGTGTACATAGTTGAGAATATTTTTTTTTTTAATTTCCATTAATATATTTATTATGAAACCGTTCAGGAATGATCAATTTTGTATTAATATTACATATTCATGAAAATATGTGTTGTCGCTCCGTAAAATTATTAAATTAAATTTTAATAAAATATGCATAATATTCACCCACAAACTGTTTTTTGGCCTTAATTATGTCATAACTGCAGGGTTATGCAAAGTTCAAAGATCTGGGGTAAACACTCCCCCAGGGGACGTTAACACCTGCATATTCATGAAAATAATAAAAAGCCTGCCAATTAATTGTAGTTTGTACTTGTGCCCCGCTTGATAGTTTCCAGCTTGTTGGATTTGAACTCAACTGAACTTTTCCGAGAACACAAAAAAACGAGTGCGAGAGGAAACCCCCATGAATGCCTGCCTCTTTTCCTCTTACCCACACAGTTATACTCGTACAAACACATTCACACTCTCTCCCACTCACACATTTTAATGGATGCTTAAAATTAAAAAACGTAACGCCAAATAGATACGCAACGACTTAAACATACCCTATCGTTTTCGACGAGCAGTAAAAGTTACCTTTTTCATCTACGTGAAGTTAAAAAATCAGTTTGAAAATATATATTTTCTATATATGTAGTATTTTGCTGGTATTTATCTAGTATTTTCTGGTACGGTTCATATTTATATCTAGTATACTTATGGTATTTTGTAGTCTTTTACTGATATTATCTAGTGGTTTTTTCTAGTAGACTGAGAAGACTATGGCTATGGGTAATGTTATATGAAAATAAAATGTCGTCTAATGAGTTGATTCTAGTGGGAATGGAATATGTTGTTTCGTTCTATGCGTTACAAACATCTCATGAGCACAAAAATATCCCGAAAGAGTATAGTAATTTTCGCAACGTCGACGACAACGTCACTCCGGGCATTTTTCACTAACTGCAACTCAGGGGCTGGGGCTGTGGCGCATGAGAAGGGGGGAACATATTTCCACTTGTAATCAAGATATCAGCCGTGGGCGACCTCACCGTGAAATGACACAAATCTGAGGGGAATGGTACGATACGACACGGAATGGAAAGTTTCCGCCCTACTGTGACTCCAGAGACCTGTGCCCGGGGCGTGAAATTAGCTTGCTAAAATTAATACATATAATCGAAAAATTACCATGAGACTTGGCCCGGAGGTAAAAATTTTCCCATTGAATGAGTTTTAATGCAATGAGTTTCGATTAGGTCTCGGGATTCCTGCAAATTGGCAACAACTTCAGCCATAGAACAAATATTTGGCCAGGAGAACCTGTCAGCCACAGAGCCAGTTGCCCATTTGGCAATTTATTCAGTTCATAGGGAATCAGAGTTAGTGCAACAAGAGGGGGCAGGGCGATACACACGATGTTGTTCGGACGTTTGTAACTGCGGCAATTAAAATGGGCTCCGAAACAAGGGCCATAAAGCGAACCATGGACGCAGTCCCTCCTCCCATCCACCTCGTACATGAATTTCCTGTCCTGTTTGGTGCTGTCCGGGCGCTGTTCTGTCCGGTTCGTGTGTGTGTGTGTGTGTGTGTGTGTGTGTGATGGCCATAATTTATGGCCCACACGAAGGACATTCCGCCGTAGTGCTGTGGGTTCTGTTCCTGTCGCGGGGCCTGCTGTGTCAACTTTGCTACTTTTTGGGCCCTGGTCGAAACCGAAAAGTTTTTAATACAAATTTAATAATTAATGCCATTATTTGTCGTGGTTTCGTGTGGAATTTCCTAAAGCAAAGTTGTGTGGAATGTTGAAAAACTAACAAAAAGGTTAAAATAGTAGAATTTAAGTGAATTTTCCAAATGGAATTTGTACGTTAGCTGATAGAGAAAATAATTTGCACATAATGTCGGGCACTTAGCATATTTTATAGAAACATTGCGAGCAGTTAAGAGCAAGGACCACCATATTTCCTTTGATGTGTCTTCCAAAAAGTTGAAGAAAACTTGAAAAAATTCACGAATTTAAGTCCAATTAGTGACTTTAAATTGGTATCCTAATTAATGGCTCTGTTTCCATATAAACATTTTCGAAATCAAATCCAAATCAGTCCCATAAATATAATCCCCTCAGCAATGGTGCTTGAATAACCTTAAGCTTAAGCTTCATTAATTTATGGCAGTCTGAATCCTTGCCAAATGCTCAACCAAGCCAAATCCTGGGCAGACAATTACAATTAGAAATGCAACAGCAACATGAAAGCCACAAAATGAGAAACAGGAGTACGAACAGGATCCGGACCAGCAGCAGCAGGAGCAGGATTAAGAGCAGACAGAGCTGAAAAAGGAGAAGAAAAAAAATAGAGAATTATAATGATTTGACACTGATGTTCTGTTCTTTTGGCGCAAATTGCAATTCTACGGCAATCAAACTGGCAGCAGCAACAACAATAAGAGGAAGAGCCGTAACTGCAAGTGGATGCCACACAAAAGGAGGCTGGCGGGCATGGTGGGTTGCAAGGGGTTAAATGTGGCGCTTGAGCACTGACAAAACATGTTTCCGTCGCAGTCAGGCAGCTGCATTTGCATCAGTGGTAGTGGCAGTGGCAGGAGTCGCAGCGGCAAAAGGAAATGAGTAGGAAAAAAGTGTTGTATTTCCCGCCAAGCCCCAACAGCCAGACAGCTCCCCTACCTTCCATTTCCCCAGAGGCCGTTGCAATGAATTGCAAGCAATGAAAATGTAAAGTACACAAAACTTGTGACGATGATGAGCAAAATCTCAGCAAGGATGCTGGGGCGCACACAGGACAACTGTTGTGACAATTGAACTTTTGTAGTCGCAAGTCCTGGAGGGGATCTGGGCGAGAGATGTCGCACAGGATGGGGCTCGTTTGAGAGATGGAATTCTGTCTCCTGGTGGGGTCTAGCCGATGGATACATAGTCCTGTCTCCTGGTGGTGACTGTGCAAGTAAGATGGCTCTGAATCTTGAATGGGGTTTTGGGTGAGTGGCTGTGTTGGTGTGGACCCCAGATTGGTTTGTCCTGCATAATGACTGTGCCATTTATTTGCGTAAACTTTTTGGCGCATCCCCTTTAGGGTTCCGTCTCCTAATTTGACCTCGAGTGTAGTCGTTTCGCCATCCCGTTGCTGGATGCCTGCCAGATGACATTTGCATGGCAATCATCTCCACATCGCTTTCGAAACAGTGTGCCAATGTGCAACCAGATGGATGCAACGCGGAATGACTATTGGCTGTTAAATGGGGGCGAGGATTCCAGTATTCGCTGCATATTATGCAACACACATTGCCAGAATAGATATTACAGTAGCAGAAGAAGCATGAGGAAGAGGATGCTGATGCCGCTGCTGCTGCACTCGGAATAGTTATTTTTATTTCGTTTTATGTGGTTCCGCTCCTTCAAGGATTTGTGGTAGGATGCCCCACGCTGTGTTCTATTTCACATTTCCTGCATTTTTGCTTGAGAGCTCACTGTTTTCTTGGGGCTTGTTTAGGTTGAGGAAATGTTTTGCAGTTCTCTTTTTTAAAGTTTAAGTGTTCTTGTATCCGTGAAAAATGAAAAATTTCACATCTTCAGCTTTAACTTGAGCTTTATTTTCTTTTCTAAAATTTCGTTAAGACTCGTAGAATATTCAATTTAAAAATATAATTTAAAATTCCACTTGTATGGATATGTTAGGACACCCCCAGGTATGCTTCAGGCCAACAGGATTACTCCCTTCATATCCTGCCACTTTAGAGGGTATGCTACATTCCGCTTGCCCCGCAGCTGGCAAATCTCACGGATTCCCATTTCGTTGAGGGCGTAATTTGAGTTCTTTTGTGCCACAGTTTCCATGCTAACAAATTTCCACACACACACACACACATTATTTTCTCTTGCAGTTTTCTCGCTTCTCTGGTCGCCGTTTTCATTTGTCGTTTTATTTATTTTTTGTTTTGTGGCTTTTCTTTTTTCTTCTGTTTGGCGACATTTCAAATTCAGAGAGTGTCATGCCCGTGCATTGACATGGCCACAAATGTGCGTCCATCCACTCTCGCTCTCTCTCTCCATCCAGAGTGTTTGGGGATCTCTCTCTCTCTCACTTTGTGTGTGTGGGCTAGAGATTATGCCAGAGACCATAACAAACAGTACACTGAGGAAAAAAAGCTTAGCTAGGAAATAGTTTCCGAATCTTATTTGAAGAATTTTGTAAATCTTTGAGGATTCATGGTAAAATAAAATGGAAAGTGGAAGATACATATGTATGTTTATAGATATTGAAATAAGATTGAAATAAATAGAAGATGGATGGAAGATAGTTTAAAGATAGTTGGAAGATTATTTGAAGATGGATGGAAGATCATTTTGAAAATAGATGGAAGATCATTTGAAGATAGATGGAAGATCATGTGAAGAAATGTAGATTGAAGATAGTTTGAAGATAGATTGAAGAATCATGGAAAACTATTTGAAGATTAAAGATTAAATGAAAGATAGCTGGCAGCTAGATGGAAGATCATTTGAATACCTTTTTTAGATAGATGGAATATATGGATTTAATTTGTGCAATTCTTGAAGCAACATTTACGAGATATCTTTATATATCTTTTTATACGTGTGTCTCGACAATAACGTTACGACACGGTACCCCTACTTTTGCCTGTGCACAAAACCGTTTATTGTTGATTGTTATTTGTGTTGCATTCGTAGGCTGTTACCAGATTTAAATTTACTCCGCTGCGTTCCATGAGAGTGAAGCGGCCGTTGCCGTCTCAGTCGTCGGTTCACGAGATGGGCGTGGTGTCGCCCCCATGGAATATGCAATATATACAATCTGTTCAGTCATTCATGGCATACTTTATCAACATTGGGGAGCATAACCACCCATAGCAGACCTCACCCCACCCAGTCTTCTGTATCCGTAGCACTGCAGGAAAATGAGGAAGAGGTGGAAAATTGTTACGGTCGCCCATTGCCGGTACGGACCGTACCCTGCTGTTCCCACCCAAGTGCGCAGCCACATTGCGCTCCAAAATTCTGCTCATCGGCGTCATAATGTGGGCAATCTGGTCTATTTTTAGTGCCTGTTCGGCCAGGAGGAGCTGTGGCTGTTTCAGTGGGAAACCAAACATTGCAACATCATTTCATCCAGATGGGGATAGAGAGGGACAGAGACAGAGATGACGGCAACAGCTGTTGCTGCCACAGCCTCCTGCCTCTCCACTCTCGGTTCATTTGAACGGGATATCGCTGCGTCTAATCCAACCGCAGATACATTGTGAAATGTTCTATTAGACACGAGGATGGGGGCATAGGCCCGGACACGGACCCGGTGTCTGGTCTGGCGCCATACTATGTGGAGTGCCTCTTCTGGTGTGCCTCCTCTGTTTGGCCTCTTCTGAACTGTGTTAATATTTGCTCGACTTAATTAAAAATCTTTTCTAATTTGCATAAAGTTTATGCCGTCATTTGTTTGTGGCCTGTTGCCCGGTCTATGGCGTCACTTCACATGGCTGGAGAGGGTGCACTGTGAGAAATATGTGCGGTATTTGTGGGAATATTGTAGATATTAAAGGATATGATATTCTATTTATAGAGTGTAATTGCAATGTTTCTGAAATTTAAACTGAAATTGAAGAGAAATATGCTTTAAAATATAGAATGGAATTATTTTTACCCAAAATAAAGGCAGGAAAGTCTTGAGCATTTAAAATAAATGGATATAGCGTTCGATTAGTCTCCAGAAGTATCGAAAACTCGATTGTAAGCATATTGTAGAATTGGGATCCCAAATACAAAGAAGATCGTTGGTAAATTCCATTTTACAATCTTTCAAATTCGATTTTTTGCTAATGTATTCCTACAATATTTTGCCTTGTGATGCTTTCCTTATCTCTGAGATGTCAATGTTGATTACATGAAAGGTTGACTTATAGAACACGTAACTTGCTCTGAAAAATGTCTGAATAGAAACAAAGTTTGCATAAGAGTGTGAATGTTTCTATTAGATTATATACAAGTTATACAATCTGAGCCAGAATAAAACGAAAGGAACTCACCTTCCCTTTCCTTTATGATCGATGCGTTGCTGGCCTTTGTTTAGGTTCATAAATGTAATACGAATGAGAATCAGAATGTAAGGATCTCAATTAGCCGATGTACATATTTCCCATCTTTCACTACGGATGGCTATTCCTGTTTGGGTGTAAGTTTGATGTAGAACAACCAACTAGCGTTAAGAATTAACAAATCATTACTCGTAGAAATGATTCCACCTATGGAAATGTTATGTGATCTTTATTATCTGACACCATAGAAGCTGTCTCGAAGAATATGTATAGGGATCTCTACTGTATGGATAATGCACTTTGTTAAATTTGAAAGAAATGCTTTTAAAATCCGCCCTCATTTCAGATTCTTTGTTTGTTGATTATCTCACACTTGCCCCACCCTACATTCTCCCAGCTCTTTCCCTATTAGCCATCTCTCTTTCTTTCCCCTCTTAACTAAAGAGGCGCCTTGCCATTCGGTTGCATGAACGAACGTGCGACAGCTTTTAGGCAGCTGAAATTCCATCCGACTCTTGCCTTGGCCTTTTGTTTGCTTTCTCTTTTAGGTTGGCCGCCTATGCAGCCCTCTGTACCCCCATAACCCCTCTTCCTTCCGCTTCGTATTACACTAATTAACGAAATGCACTTGGCTTAAAACAGCCCGCCGCCCGAGCGGCTAGAGAGGGCCGCGAGGCGAGTGATTGTGGGTGTGTGCGATTGTCAAATTGAGATTGCAGAAACAACAAGAGGAAAAGCGTTGGTTGACGTCGCCCCAGAGCCGTCAACGATAATTATACGGCCACAGTAAAAACTAAGGGAAATGAAAGGAGTGGGCCAACGAGACCCGGCTTATCAACGGGTTAAGGGTAGACACGACTGGCGTCATTTGGTTGCCTCTGCCGCCTGCTAATTACACAGCATTTAAAACGGAAGACAGAGAGAACCCAGAAGAAAGGCCCAAATGAAACTTTTCACTGGTCCTTAATGCAGTTTCCTCTATTCTCGCTTTTCCTTTCCTTTTCGTGGTCTCTCCTCGTGGGGCAATGTGGTTGGTACTCTGTGGTTCAAACATTCTGGCTTCTCTCTAGCTTTGAGCTCGGTCTGTAGAACTCCCACTCATGATTTCTGGCCGCGTTTTGATGATGAAACTTTGTGAAGCACGTACTCGAAATGGGCCCATAGAAAACTGGCAGACAGGCAGACGGGGTTTGAGATTTCAATTAAAGCCGCCATAAGGTTTATACACCCCCCAAATACGGTGGGAGCAGACCACACCCAACCCCATCCACCCGGCGTCCATCCACTCCCTGACCATATGGACATGCCGCATGCCAACAGTCAGCTGCGTCTCCAGCGGCCAGTTAAGGGCTTGGCCTGGCCCCCATACACATTATGTATACTCCTCGTATATTCGTACATATTTACCTTGTTGGCCAAACAGACGGCCATGGCTCTCGTCGTCCTGGGTACTGGGTGTGCCCCCCATTAACCTTTATGTGCTTCCGAGCGTCTTTAATGCGCTTACCGACACTACTGGCTCTGCCACTGCCCAGGCACGCAATTAACGAAAATTCAATAAATGCGAACGACAGCGTCCCGGGAATCCCAGCGAGCAGCTAGCTTATACATCTGCATCAGGGAGATAGCAGTGCACTGCAGAGGGAGAAAAATAATACACGAACATGATTAAGGAAATATTTTTCAATCAGAAAATGCGAATGTACTCATCCTTTAGGGAAGTAGAGATAGATGGGATTATAGTGCGTTGGAGTAGAAATATTTTAACATTTACCAACTATGAGTATCCACTTTTCTATTGGTCTAAATCAAAAGCAAACGTTTCACCAGCTCCCTCCCAATGCTTATATACCCAAGAGATTAAAGCGTATTGGTGCTACGGAATTTAATGAAAAATGAAACCAAGTGAAAGGCAGTGAGCCACAGCAAAGGTCCCTAGTGGTAAACGCCCCTCGTCGAAGCAACCCAAGCGAACCACACCCTTTCGAACACCCATCATGCCCCGCCATAACTTACACATGCAAATTACTGCAATAAAAATCCAATGGCTGGGGCTGCTGGAAGGAAACTTTTATGATTACTACTACTGTGCTGTGCCATCTTTACGCCGCCCCATCTGACACCTCGCTCATCCCTCTCCTCCGTTCGGTTGTTATCCATTTCAGGCCCTCACAAAGTTCCAAAGCTCACAGAAGGTCACCAACAAGACGGGCATCGAGCAGGAGGATGCACTGCTCAATGAGTCCGCGGCCAGGGAAACCTCGCTCAATCTGCAGATCTTTGATCTGGAGAACGACACGAAACAGCTGCGCCATGAGCTGGAGCGTGTGCGGAACGAGCGCGATCGCATGCTGCAGGAGAACTCGGACTTTGGTCGGGACAAGAGCGACAACGAGGCGGATCGACTGCGTCTCAAGTCCGAGTTGAAGGATCTTAAGTTTCGGGAGACGCGTATGCTCAGCGAGTACTCGGAGCTGGAGGAGGAGAACATATCGCTGCAGAAGCAGGTCTCCAATCTGCGTAGCTCGCAGGTGAGTCCATCTGGCAATAGATAGGAATGCTATAGGAAGATGAAATAACAAAATGATTTGTGTTCTTCTCTTTTAGGTGGAATTTGAAGGTGCCAAACATGAGATTCGTCGTCTCACCGAAGAGGTTGAGCTGCTGAATCAACAGGTCGATGAGCTGGCGAATCTCAAGAAGATTGCCGAAAAGCAAATGGAGGAGGCCCTGGAGGCATTGCAGGTGCAGCATTTGAATGATTAAATGTATCCATAAATACTGATTCAATATCATTCTGCATTAGGGGGAACGCGAAGCAAAGTATGCGCTGAAGAAGGAGTTGGATGGCCATTTGAATCGTGAGTCCATGTATCACATCAGCAATCTGGCCTACAGCATACGCAACAATATGGAGGACAATGCCAGCCAGAATTCGGATGGCGAGGAGGAGAATCTAGCACTGAAACGCCTGGAGGCTGACCTGAGCACCGAACTGAAATCTCCCGATGGCACCAAATGCGATCTCTTCTCCGAAATCCATCTGAACGAGCTGAAGAAGCTCGAAAAGCAGCTGGAGAGCATGGAGAACGAGAAAACCCATCTGACGGCCAATCTGCGGGAGGCACAAACGAGTCTGGACAAGTCACAAAATGAGTTGCAGAACTTCATGTCCCGCCTGGCACTATTGGCCGCCCATGTGGATGCTTTGGTGCAGCTCAAGAAGCAGATCGATGTCAAGGACCAGACGGCTGGACAGGACCAGAAGGACGAACTGCAGCAGCAGCTGCGGGCAATCATCTCGCAGTACGCCAACTGGTTCACGCTCTCAGCCAAGGAGATCGATGGCCTCAAGACTGACATTTCCGAGCTTCAAAAGGGGCTGAACTACACGGATGCCACCACCACGTTGCGCAATGAGGTGACCAATCTGAAGAACAAGCTCCTGGCCACCGAGCAAAAGTCCCTGGATCTGCAGAGCGATGTGCAGACCCTCACGCACATCTCCCAGAATGCCGGCCAGAGCCTGGGCTCGGCGCGTAGCACTCTGGTGGCCCTCAGCGATGATTTGGCTCAGCTTTATCATCTGGTCTGCACTGTCAATGGGGAGACGCCAACGCGTGTCCTACTGGATCATAAGAGCGATGATATGAGGTTAGCTTGGTATAATAGAATATTCCTTCATAGAGTTATTTGTAATCGTTGTAATTGTATTCCCATTGTAGCTTTGAGAACGATTCGCTTACTGCCATCCAATCGCAGTTCAAGTCTGATGTGTTCATTGCTCGTCCACAAATCGTTGAGGATCTGCAGGGTCTGGCCGATTCGGTGGAGATCAAGAAGTATGTGGACACGGTCAGCGACCAGATCAAGCATTTGAAGACAGCTGTGGAGCATACCATCGATTTGAACAAACACAAAGTTCGTTCCGAGGGTGGAGATGGTGAGTGGGACTCTCTTGAGTATGAAAGCATTATCGTTTATAAGGATTATCATCTATTACAGCTGTGGAAAAGGGCAACACCGAGGAAATGGAAGAGTTGCAGGAGCAAATAGTCAAGCTCAAGAGTTTGTTGTCGGTGAAACGCGAACAAATCGGAACCCTGCGCAATGTGCTCAAGTCAAACAAACAGACCGCCGAGGTGGCTCTCACCAATCTCAAGTCCAAGTACGAGAACGAAAAGATCATTGTCAGCGACACCATGTCCAAGCTGCGTAACGAGCTCCGTTTGCTCAAAGAGGATGCAGCTACCTTCTCCAGTAATTATCCAGCAATAAGTTGCCGTGTTTCTCCTACTTAATCATTTTTTTTTTTGTTTTTGTTTGCTTAGGTTTGCGTGCCATGTTTGCTGCACGCTGCGAGGAGTATGTCACTCAGGTGGATGATCTGAATCGCCAGCTGGAGGCTGCCGAGGAGGAGAAGAAGACTCTCAATCAGCTGCTGCGTCTGGCTGTCCAGCAGAAGCTGGCCCTCACACAGCGTCTGGAGGAGATGGAAATGGATCGGTGGGTGCATTTGGGTCGCTAAAAGTCAGCCATCAATCCCTTACACACACACACACACATCTGTCACTGTCACATAAAGTTCTGTTATGTTCTCCCTTGAATCCCTCCCAATTCCTGAGACTCCAGCATTCGGTAAGCATTTGCAAATTGCAACCCAAAGGCTTTGCATGTCTGCCGCCTTCCTGCCTGCTAACCCGTTGCTGGAATCCGCCTAATCCCAAGAATACCCCGCTGTGCGCTCATCAAAATTTATAGTGTTGAAACAATGGGGACCAAAAATAACCATTGTTGTCTTGTTCACTTTCTATCTACTCACAAAACTAACAACTTTCTTTCGTTTCCTCCCCACCCAAACAGCGAAATGCGTCATGTGCGTCGTCCGATGCCACCGCAGAGCGGCACACGCGGCAAATCCTCGTTCAGTACACGTCCATCGAGCAGGAATCCAGCGAGCAGTAATGCCAATCCCTTCTAACATAAAATCAGCGTGCAGCGTAAACTTTTGGCTTTAGTTTATACTTTGCTTAAGTTGTAAGTTCGTTGGAGTTCCTTCAGAGAGAGAGAGAGAGAGATACATAAAGAGATCAGCCCCCTGCAGCAATACAGCAACACAAAAACGTACTGCAGATTGAGAACGATTTGAGAACGAAGCTATAACTATTCTCCATCTAACTACTATAACTATATATTTGTTTGTATTGTATTTGTATTTATTGAAAGTTTAGTTAGAATGAAAGTTTTGTGTTAGACAAGATCGAAAGCAGTAAATGGTTATTAACGGTTAGTTACTTAAACGTCCAATTAATTTAATTAAAACGAAACGAAAAGTGTGAGGTAACGAGAAGATATAACGTAACGAATTGTATTTTTCTAAATGCGAATCACATGTACTATATGTATTCGATAGCGTCCTAGTATGATTTCAATCTGAGTTTTGTTAAGTTTCGCGTTGATTATTTGATTTTTGTTATCAACGCTGTGCGCAAGCAAAGAAAAGTAAAAAAACAAAAAAACGAGAGAAATTGATAAACAATGTTGACGTTGAACAAACGAAATTGGTATTGGCAATTGTGGTATCATGTATTGTATTAATTGGCCTGCCCTGCCCGATAACCAAGAGTATTTTCACAAGGGTTCGTACAGTCGTACCCCCTAAAAATGTACGTAACACGAACAAGAGGAGAAGACCCCTCCCTCCTCGCCGAAATGTATATTATCGATGGTGTTCGCAAGCCATTGTTGTACCAACACTGTAGCAAACAAGCTACAAAGTCTCAAAGACGATTCTGATGATGATTATTTGTATTTATAGAGCGCCACTGGGGTCTCGCGAAAATGAAGAAATTGTAGGAAATTAATTATTGTTTGCAATGGAGAAAAAAAAACCTAGTTTTTTTTGTGGTTCACACTTAGCATTAATTGCAGAAATAACATATGATTTGTGCATTATTATTTAATTTAATTAATAAATTACAAACACACAAAAATATCAAGCAAGTAAATAAGAATTTTGTTTTCATTTCCAATGAGTTTTGTTATTTTTGTTGCTGTAGGAAAATATAGAATATCTTGTGCCACGCCACGCCTAATGAAACCATTAGACGAACTTACGATCATATATTCTTTCAGCAGCAACAAGCTCTTATGGCCTTAATATAATACACACTTTATGGTTTAACACACACACAAAATAAATAACTTTGGTGATTACCAAGCAGCTTAACCGAACATACAAAATAGCGAGACAAAGCGTTAAAGTTTAAATAAATATTATTATCGTAGCTAATTAAACACGAAAGTAGTGTCCAACCAACAGAGCACATTATCTAGTAGCAGTACCCATCCAGTCTACCCTCCAAGAGATGGAAACTTTGTTGCTTCATTTTGGGTTTACGATGTTTCGTTTTCGTTGTCAATCGAAAGAGGTGGAGATTCTACATGAAATTTATATATACAAGATCGTATATTGTGTAAATTACCGAGCCATTAAATTGAATTTATATTTAAAGTACACAAACGACACTGAAACACACACACACTCAGACACACAAACACACAACGTCCATTCATGCATTCACAGATAAAAACTCCTCGGAGTTGCCTATGAACAAATTATTTATGAAAAAAAACCAAACTCTAACCAATTGTAAATATATTTATATACATATGGAAGTTAGTAGAGATATCGAGCCAGAAACAAAAGCAAAGCAAAACAAACAGAAAATACATACATATTTCAAAATAATGATTTTATTGTAATTTTTACCGTCCCTTTTTGCGAACGAACTAAAAAATACAAAGTCTATTTATGCAAAACCAATCACTGAACCAATAACGAACAAAAAAAAAGCAACTTTCAGTTCATCAGAGATCATATATTAAGCTACTCAAATACCATAAAATAAAACTACCTACATACATACATCGATTGATCGTTCATCCAACCAGCCAAAATATTGATAGCCAATATGGATACTACATACATACATTAAAATAAAACATACATACATATGACATAAAGATATTTCAATTGCGAGTAGGCGACCATGGATGATAGCCGCCGCCAAAGAGAGAGATAGAGTGGTGGTGGTGGCGTCACAAAAAGCAAATAGTTTTCTATTTCCCAAAAACCAAAACACACACAGAATGTAAGAGTAAAGCAATTGAATTTAAGATTTGAAGGATGTTTAATGTAAGTTTTACGATAAATTGCCGGCAAATTGCAATAACTTTGCGTGTGGTAACTGTGGACATATGAAAAATTCAACCGAATGTGCAAGGATAAACGAAGAGATGAGCATTAATTATACAAATTACTTATTACAAGATATGTGAAAATAAAGAAATTAGCAAATACATTTGAGTGTTTTTATTGGGAAGTGGGCTGTGCCGAACAGGCAATGGGGAAGTATGCATTTCAAAGCATTTTAGTTGAATTTAGCATTTATTTACGAGTATTCAAAACGTTATTATGTTTGTACATATATTTGATTGTGGTTCATGCCACACCTATGTAAATTTCTTTATGTAAAAGTTGAAAAATTCAATGGATCTCAAAAAGATATTGGCTCAATGAATTTTAAATGTTACTTCCTCTGTGATAAGTATTTTTGTGAAAAGTACGAACATTTAAATATCTTTAACCACCACGATTTTCGTATGTATTTCTTATCGGTATTTCAACTCACAGAGAAACTCTGTGCGATGATTAAATATTTGCGGAAAATAAAGAGATGTGCATTTGACAGTTGGTGGGAAGTATGACTGTTACTTAAGAACAAATTACAAATTTCTATGGGAAATATATATAAAATATATCATATATTGATGGTTAGCAACCAGGGAGTAGTTTCGTAGTTTTTATATGTTTCGGAACGGATTAAATTCTGTAATCACCTCGATTTTGAATGTTACTTATTATCGGTCTTGCACTATCGAAATTTACTTGGGGAAATTAATAAAAATGAAAATATTTTCTATTTTTAATTTATTATATGCATGTATGTTTAATAATACTGTTGTTAGGGGATTGTTCAAATTTTATCTTGGCAATGAATAAGTCAAAACAGCTCCTGCATGAATCATCGTTCTTTTCACTTCACGGCAACGATACCAAAATAAACAAAACTCGATGTGGGAGTCACGAGGCCAAGAAAACTACCGATATTTCGGCCAGGCCAACAGAAATGTATAGATGAACGACCTTGGCCCTATCGAGCAGATGACAAAGAATTCGATACACTCGTGCACGAAAGCAAACGAGCGATAAACATTTGCATTAAGGGTAACGTAACATAAACAAATATACGAATACGGACAGAGACGAGACCGGAGATGAATGTGAATGCATACTCGTATATTTTTTACTCCAAACAGCGAGAGAGAACAACAAAGAACTGTATAGTAATTGTCGACAAATCGCACTCCTCAGTACGTATTTATGTATGAACAAAGGGAATGAACTATGTGCTAGTTATCTGTTATGGTTTTTGTAATTTCAATCAACTATTAAGAATGCACGAAATGTACTCACTTTGAGTTACCAAGATACCTTCTACTAGCGTAAAGAAAATGCAACTGTACGGAGATCTTCAAAATAGTCACCATTATTACAAGATAAAAGATTTAACTAATCAACATTAATCAGTAAGTTGAAATAAAAACGAAAAATATTACGATCATCACAAAGAATACACGATGCAGCCACAATTTCTTCAGTTTATTCAATCTCGTGCTTCTGCTTCTGAAGAAAATGCCTCAAAAACAGAGTTTCCAATGGATTTAAACCATAAATCTTTCAATGATATCGAAGAGATGCCTGACACGATCAGGTTTACATTCAAATGGCCAAAAAATGATGATCGGGGAGTGCAACAGCAAGTACTTTATCGATACCGATTCCAATCAATGGCGATGTCACGCGGCCAGAAAACTACCGATATTTCAGCCAGGCCAACAGAAACCCGCAGACAGACGGGGCGTGCTCTATCGAATCCAGATGAAAACGAAAACACCAAACACCAAACTCACAGATACACCACAAGCACACAGCTAAACAAACTCACACACACCGTGGCAGTCTGAAAATTCATGCCCGTACGTGACGGATGGATGCGGGCGTTTGGCCTGGTTTCTGCTTCTGCTTCTTTTATTCGTCGCTGCTTGGTTGGTGGGTTTATACAGACCAGTGCCTGCATGCGGGAGTTCGAAAAGTTTGTTCTGGTCGAATGACACAAAGCGAATACCAAGCGCGCAGCGACATGCAGATGGTGGTTGCCCTCACATAGTTGGATGGCGGCTCTTATTGGCTGCCGTCACAGCTGCGATTGTTATACTGGGTAAACTAAGAGAACAAGGGCGTATTCACTGGCCGGACGTCATGGAGAAAGTGTTTCCCATTCCATTGATTCTTTAGATTTGCATGATCTATAATTAACTTTATTCCTTATTTACATAGGCTGTTTCGCATTGGTGTTCCCAATTTTTAATGGAGTAGTGATATTATACATACGCATCTACGTATGCCGTGACTGCCAGGAATCTTATTGTCGAGACTCGCAACTATTTCGTTTCCCTCTTGCTTTTAAATGATAGCGCGTCAAGGCTGGCGTCAGCTGTTTACTGTGACTGGTGCGACGGGCAGACCAACCAGAAATGCTTTAAAGAGGGATAAAACCATTACTGGCCAAAGTGGCCCAAAGCGACGGGACAGGGAACCAATAAGTTCTATTAAACAAATGGCAGGGAGGGGGACACAGTTCTTGAACTGCAATCGAAGTGATCAAGTTGGTGCTGCAAGAACATGAACAGGCCAAGGAACAGGTTTATGTTGCGAAACAGTCGCATACACAAATAAACAATGTAGCATTGTCCTTGCCTTTCAATAGCCCCCCCAATTATGTGGGTGGAGTTCGAATATCATGTCGCATTGGCCATTGTTTTTGGCCATTGCATTCGACGATAGGTCCCGAGCCTATTGGAAATCACAATTGTAATTGGGCCTGATTGGTGTCTGATTGAGTTTTCCCTGGTGCTTGAGAGTGGTGTGCAGTGTGTGCCCACATTTTGCTCAACAGGTGAGAGCAGTCTTTTGAGGCAGAGGCACGTAAGTGTTTGGCGTTAGAAAAATGCGGCAAGCAGCAAAATTTCTCACCACACACACGCCCACACACGGCACGGTTTGCTGCGACTTTTTCCGCCTTAGTGCGATTTGTTGTATCGCGCGTCATTTAACAGGCGCTCAGCGGTTTTAGCAAGCAATTTTCAAACATTTTTGTCGCCGCAGTTGTTTCGAGGGATGACGCGAGAGCGAGACGGCCATAGTGTTGTAGCATGGAGTACATATATGTATAGCTGTGCGCTAGAGCGGGATAACCATAGTGACGATGCAGCTTTGGGTGGGTTCGTGTCTTTGCTAAATGGAAAGCTTGTGACGTCGCTTCGGCCGGGTATGCTCGCCGCGCCGGGTTCACAGCAATTTGTTAGGTTTCTGGCTGTGGTTGAAAGCTGAAAGTAAAAGGGTTTTTTATTGGTCTTAATCGTACAGAGTTGGAAATAGGCTGGAAAGTGGTGATTCGTCTGCCTTGACTGTTGGCTACTCGGACGAAAATCTGTGGCAGGCACATTATTAAAGATACAAATATACGATAAAACTAAAAGTATCGTAGAGAATGACCATATCTACCAGATTGCCGAATCTGAATCAGATCGGATCATAATTTTAGCGAAAATGAAGACAATTAGTTTTTAGTTGGTTCTCCCGCCTCCTACAGCAAGAGACCCGCTACTCATTCTCTCTCTCGCTCGCACACTCTGTCGCGTTATGTACGCGAGCGCCCTCTTGCAGAGGAGATGTAGAATCTGAATGGTACATAAAAATAAATTTAAAAAAAATTAATTTTTTGTATTTAAAAATATTTTAAAATGCTTTTATAAAAACTTTATATTAATAAGAAAAGGTGTAGGTCAAAATTAAAAAATTTGCTTTAAAAAACTTTTGTGGCTATGGACCCTGACTCTGACAGCGCCCACAATCCGGGCCATGAACCGCACAGGGGCCGGCTGCATTACTGCGGCTCCATGCCGCCCCAGTACTTCGAACACCAAGTTCACTATCACCCGAACACACAGCTCCAGATTGGTGCTGTTCAGGCGCTCCAGGGTGGTGAAAGGTTCCGCCGTGAAGGCAAAGCGCCGGATGCTATTGACCTCGGTCTGGATCCGGCACCAGCACCGGCGGATAGGCAATGGCTTGCCAGTGCTCGGAATCGAATTTCAGGCAGTAAATCTGATCCAGCACCGTGTCGATAATTCCATGATTTTTGGCCAAGTTGGCCCGCAGGTGAACGATGTCCCAAAGGACAGGGAAATCATGGATGGATCTCATCCTTCCCCTCAAATTAGCAGGACAGTCATCGGAAATTATCGCCATCAAGCTGGTGGTCAGTCCAGTTCTCCGGATCGAGTGCATGACGTGCACTCCCTGTTTACGCAGACCTGCAATTATTATACATACATATATGTATACCTAATTTAATATATTCATATACATATATAACAATGACAATTGTTACCTTCCATTGATCATCGCTGATGAACATTACATTAACAGTTGCTTAAGGAGAATAATGGAATAGAGCTGTAGCTCACCCGCGTCTTTCGTGAACTTAATCATTTTCCAGTTTTTTACTTTTAGTATGTGTGTTCTTAATGTTAAACACATTAAATGAGACGTATGTACGTGTTAATGGTTCGGTTTGAAGTCAAAGGCGACTAGTGCCATTGCAATATGATGACTATGCTCAAAAATGTAGTACTTGCAGTGAAATTTACTTTCTGCTTAATGCATTTCCAAAATAGGGATTTTTGTGAAAAGGGGGAAAAAAGACCCCATATTTTTTTTCCACCCCCCCCCCCCCCCCCCCCCCCCCCCTCCCCCCTCTCTCCCTTTTTTTTTTTTTTTTTTTTTCTCTCCCCCCACCCCCCCCCCCACCACAACACCCCCACTCCTTTCCCCTTTTTTTTTTTTTCCCCCCCCCCCCCCCCCCCCCCCCCCCCCCCCCCCCCCCCCCCCCCCCCCCCCCCCCCCAAAACCCAAAACCCCCAAAACAAAAAAAAAAAACCCAACACCCACAACCCCCCCCCCCCCCCCCCCCCCCCCCCCCCCCCAACCCCCCCCCACCTACCCCCACCCCCCCCAACCAAATTTCCTTTTTTTCCCTCTTCCCCCCCCCCCCCCCCCCCCCCCCCCCCCCCCCCCCCCCCCCCCCCCCCCCCCCCCCCCCCCCCCCCCCCCCCCCCGCAAAACAAAAAACAAAAAAAAAAAAAAATAAAAATTTTTTTTTTTTTTTT